TGTCAAGCGAGCCGGTTTTCTCCCCAGCCCCCCTGCCCTCCCGGGCACACGTTCCCCTTTCGACGTTCTTAGATTACCACAACCTTTTAAATTCYCTCTACTGTACTTTCATACTGTATTAGACACAGCAGCAATTATGTTTGCGAGCATGACACATCCATCGCTTACACTTGGTTAATAAGGTAACTTAAAAGTCGCGGGCATCATCCTCTTAACAGGGTTATAATCAATGGGACCGTGGAAGGAAAGCCCTAAAAATCCCCCTGTTTCCCGGCTCCGGGGTGGCCGGTGCAGCTCAGCGGGGGATCCGGCCACCTCCCCGCCGCTGATGGGCTCCTCCACGCGTTCTCCTCCACGGCAGCGTGACGCTGGGGTTGAGGTTGACCGTGTGCAAGGGAAATGGGATGTATCAGCGGTTGCTTCCCTGAGGTTGACCCTGTGCAAGGGAAATGGGATGTGTCAGTGGTTGCTTCCCTGAGGTTGACCCTGTGCAAGGGAAATGGGATGTGTCAGTGGTTGCTTCCCTGCTACGCTGCTGCAAAACCCGCGCGGCGGGAGACGAGGGCGACGCACGGGCTCGTTTGCAGGGGGGCACCTCTCCGCAAGCCGCAGAGCCCCGAGCTGCTCGTCCTGAGCGCCGGGCCCGGCCGGACCCGCGGGCCGAGCCCCGGGTCTGCGGATCCAGCGCATTGGGAGCAACGGGAGCAGCGGGGGGACGCGCGGCCGCCTCGCGCCCCTGCCCTGCCACCGGCCACRGCTTCCTAGCCCAGAAACGGGGGCGCTTCAGGTGGGAAGGAGTAGAAAATGTGGCTCTCATTCAGCGCTGCTCTTGGCTGGGGACAGGGGGACAGGTATCCTGGCTGCTTGCGGCCACTCCGCCGCATCCCTGCTCCCGTCCATCCCGCTCTAGGCGGAGTTACGGATGCAGGGAAAAGGGGGAAAAAAAGGTGAAAGCCTTCAGTGTTCAACTCACCAAACTTGCGTCAAGTCTCGGCTCAAGCCAAGGTTAAACAGGCCTGCTCTGAGCCTCCTAAAGGAGGATTTATATAGTAATTACCGTAATGGAAACTGATCTTTACCGCTTGCATCCCGATCAGAATTGTGCTGCGTCACGCGCATCTGCAGAGGCCAGAGCAGCGCGGCGCCGCGCGCGGCCGCTCGCACCTGTAGCGAGAGCTCCCGGGGCAGCCGCGAGGAGCTCCAGCCGTGAATCCCGCGGGAAGCGGAGAGCAGGATGTGGCACGCGCAGCAAGGGGGTCGAGCTGCTTTGTTCGCAGGGTTTTGCGGAGCCAGGGCTCCCTCGCACACAGCACYGAGTGCGTTTCGGCTGCCCCGGGTTTCCCATCCCGTCTCCTCTGTATTTCTTCGCCCAAGCCCGGGGGCCAGGCAGGCGCCGAGGTGCCAAGCGCATCCCGGCGGGAGCCCTCGCCTTGTCCGCTCTCCAGTTGGCTCCTTCTGCAGGGGAAAGGCAGGAGGGCCAAGGCCGCTGTGCGCGAGGAGCAACCTGCGGAGATGGGAGACGTGACAGGGGGTTTGGCTCCACCTTCAGGAAGCGGGAGGCAAAGGGAAGCGCGGCTGGAAGTTGGGATGTTCCCTCTGCGGAAACCAGGGCTTGCCGCTTCCCCAGCAGACGGCTTTTCCGCCCCGGCGGGTCTTTCCTTCGTGCACTGAGAACAAGTTCCCTCATCTCCTGTTACAGATTATTTGGGCCAGCTCTTAAGTCTAACTCTTCCTGCAGAGCTTAAGGACATGCAGAAGAAGGTCCACAAGTCGCTGATAGAGCTGATACATGAGCAAAAGCCAAAGAAAAGCAATTTTAAGAAGGGAAAAAAGCTGCCACACACAGGATGCTGTAGAACTGGAAGGAATATTACATGTTAKGAGCACTTTGGATGCTCAGATTTCCATAGGGAATACAATTTTTCTTTTATAATTCATGGAGATGAGAAAGGCTCTGTGAGTAACGCAGAGGGCTGAGGGGAAAGCAGGAAGAGTCTTGATGAAGTTTCAGTCTAGCAAAGCTCTTAGGCACAAGCCTAAAGCCCTTCTTCCTGCCCAACTCTGGGCAGGAATTGCAGCAGAGGCAGACGGACAATTTCCTTGAATTTCTGTTGGCAGACTCGGGTTGAGAAAGTGCGTGCCCAGAACATAACAGCTGCTTAAAAGTCTGATTTAAACGAATTAAAATGATCCGTTTTTTAAAAAGAAGCTATATAGAGACCATTTATAATAATGAAAATGGCAAAGCAGTTGGAGATGAGACTACACCGAGTTTGAAAGACTGCATGATGTATTAGTGAATTAATAGGCAAGCACAGATTAGCAACAGTCCAAGGAAATGCACAGCGGCTTGCAAACTCTTGCCTTTGGCATTGCCCTGGTTGGTGTTTAAGCACCCAACTTTACTGTTTTCAGCGTGGTTTTCTGGAGGAAACAGGTTTGAAAACTGCAGCGCAAGCAACAGGAACAGCCCTCAATGCAGCAATGGACTGAACACCTAATGAATCCAAAAATGCAGGAAAAAACACTGCAAAGAGATGCGAGAAGACTGGATAGACATAGCTGCGTAAGCAAATATAACTGGATATACTCCTGAGGAACAAAGGAAACAGCTCCTGATGGAGTGACAACAGATGTTCTCCAAAACTTTCTAATGGAGCATTTCAAACACAAAGACCTTCCCGTGGAGCTGAGAAGTTTTACTGGCAGGCGTGCAGTGATGCGTCTTTGGAAACCTAATGAGACCCAGCGTTCAAGGTGTTTGCAGGCTCTGAAAGAAGTGGCATCCAGTGCATTAAGTGGTGGGTGGTGGTAAAGAGGGATGCAAGATAAAGAACATGGTCACAAGAAGTTGCTGCAGGGTTGTTGAGATGGACTTTGGTGGAGGAAGAGCTGGGCAGAGAACTGGCCTCCTAAAACATCTCTAAGCCCATTCATTCTGAAAATGGGCTTAATGCTCAAGTGAAAGCTATACAGGCTGACCTGACCAACGAAGCACAATTCAGGGTATTTTATTAATACTGGAGGCAGTATTAATAAATAGAGCCACTTCTGCACCGTGTGGGTGGGTGCGCAGTGCCCACGGCTCGTGTTTGTACGAGCTCCTCTGCTCTCACATCACGGTCAAACACGCTGCCGAAAATCCTAAAATAGAGTCACAAAAGAAAACACAGGTTTACGGAGTCCTGGTTTTGCAGGGACTGAGCTGCACTAGTACTTAGCGAAGAGTTGGATTTAATTCCTGGCTTGGATCTGCGGCATCTTCAGTGAACAGCTTTATGCTGGTTTTTAAAAGCTGGTCTCTTCAAATGCTTTTTTTTTAAACTCTGGCCTTTACTCTTCATTTTCTCTGTTGTACAGACACTGAATAATACTTCCTTAGCTTGCTGCAATGCTGAACAGACTCCTGAGTATCTGCAAAACAAGCAAATATCATTTTATTTGGGAAGAAGGCAGGAGGATGGCATAGTACATTTTTTTGATTAACTTTATTGCTTTGCAACTGTTTTGGGGGAAAAAGCTACAACCTGGAGAAAGGAGCATTGCAGTGCAGCGGGAGCGATGAGAACCACAGAAACAGCAGGGGCAACTTGAGGTGAGTGTTACAGCAGGCAGCAACACCCAAAACCATCACAGAAGGGACATTTTCATAAGTATTACGGTAGCCAGTTTATTATTAGCACAGTGGGACAGCTTTATATTTTGCATCACACTTTTCACAGCCGCTTGTGGAAAACGTGCCRTATCTGACAATTCCAAGATGTAAATGAAGATCTCTCTGTCTGTCGTCCTGCACTGCTACCTGCTTCCCCAGTTATCCCTTGCAAAATTCCAGCTCTGCAGCTATGGCAATGGATGGAAACCCGAGTGGGTCCAGGCCTGTGACCTAATCCCAACAGCACCCAATGCAGCTGCAAAGGTCTTGTCATCTCTGACACCAGCGTCCAAAGGCTTCACAAAGGACGGGGTGCAAAAAAGTCCTGAGYTGTTAGTCCAGACTTGAGGATTGAGTGGAATGAAGCATAAAGGAACAGAAATTAAAATTCTTTCTGTCTGGTCACCTTTTGCTTCATTATCACCAGTACAAAAAACACAATGCAGATCTGCCACGAATCCCAAAGCATCTTTTACTTCGCAGGTTCGCTGACCTAAAGGAATAAAATGCATTTGTTTCTACAGAAACGCTAACTTAACTCGTAATCGCAAATCTTTCTTTCTGCTGACAATTTTGTTTTTAGGAGAAACAAACTACCTGATGGTCCTAATAACTAACCATATTTTCATCTGACTCATGCAAAACAGCTCCTGTTTTCCTCCGCAGATAATGAAGTCATGGATTGCTGAAGCCCGTGAGTCAAGCCCTCTGCTACTTGTACATATGAAGATGTATTTTGGAATCAAATCTTGTGTGAAAGAGTTGCCCAAGGCTTTTTTGTTCATTATAAAGTCCATGATATCTTCCTCTTTCCTCTATTACCACTGTCAGAGTTAAAAAACAAAGGCACACAAGTCACAGGATGATATTAATCATGGATTTTTATTTGGTTCAAACATTTCTGCCCGTTTCCCTGCCTCTTTTGGAAAAGTGCGTATTTCAGGAATAAAACTGACATGCACAAAGGGCATTCAATGAAAAAGAGGGGGAAAAAGGGAGATGCAACAAATATACAGCAAGTGAATGAAGCTAACAGAGCGTTCTGGTCTCTTTGAACCCACGCGCAAAATGCACCTTAACAAGTAGTCCAAAACCACATCTTCTGTGAATGACTGCTGCAATGTTCTGCAGAAGATACTCCCTGTGGTTCATTCTCATGATGCGATACACTCAGGTATTACTTATTTGGATAAAAACAGGATTGTTTTGCAAAACTTTATGTGCACTGGTCTTAATGTAGGTTTAAAAGAGACTACCGAGCAGAAACTGCACTTAAAAATCAATTTAGGAATCTGGTTTATGTAATTTCCTTAAAAGTACTGATTGCAGACACATTAATAACATTTGAGAGTTTCTAAACTTTCAAAGGATCTAAACCAACCAACCTCTGCACCAAGATTATTAAAAAAATAAATCTATGTTATTAACATGAGCTTTGCATTCAGTTGCTACAGGTTTTCATAAGAAGGTCAAGGGAATGCTTAAAATTGGTCAGATATTAGTAAGATTCTGTTGAAATGTCTTCTGTCTCTGTGTGATATATATAATGTATTTAAAGGAAAATTTAGGTAAATCTTGGCTGTCCTAAAGAATTTGGTCGAATGGCTTTGAAGGACACCGAATTTATTTCGCTGGAAATYAATTCATTTATGAGCAGGTACACACTTGAAAAGACCCTTTCAAGGACTTTATCAAAGCAAAGAATTCACATTTCTGACATTCTCTATCTGCAAAACAGACACAAATGTATTTTCAGAAAAAATAAAAAATGACAYGCATTTCACTATGGATTATTGCAAGGGGTGGAAAAATCAAAAGAAGCAAAGCAATTATGTCCTATTCTAACCTCTGTGCTCTCACCATCTACCCTCCTTCTTGAGATGCATCACATGTGGTTAGATTTTTCCATATCCATACTTGTGTGGTAGATCAAGAGTGATCAGATATTGCAGCCTTACCAGAATTGTTCTTTAACCTTTACAGAATAAACATCTTCAAATCAAGGGAACTTCATAGGAATTCATAGTGGAATTTCAGCACAAGATTTAGGGCCATTGGAACTTTAATTAGCRTGAGAGAAAGAAAAGCAATTTCTACGTTTTAGAGTTTTTAAGTTAAATTCCAAACTGAGAAGAGTTCTAAAAACAGACCCCAAGTATAATTCTGGCCCTACTAACATCCATGTCTCATGAGTTTCAAAGGACTAAATATCAGCAAATAATCTTCTGAATCATACTGAGATGCCAAATATCAACAGTGCAAATTACAACAGCCTGCATACCTCACAACTGACACCACTTAGCGGCAAACTATGTGCTCACAGAAACAGAGCAGTCACAAAGACACTTGGCACCTCTGAGGTAAATTCATCCTCTTGATGAATTTTTGCATTTTACCATCTTCGTTCAATGTACAACATTTAACACACAGTTCTGATGAGGTGTCATTAATTAGTCATCAGTCATATATCGTCAGTGGACGACTGGATCCGTCTGTAGAACTAGAATGCACCTGGGCATACGTGACACGTACGGCCAGGGTTAAGGATATGTCTGCATTTTCCTGAACGTTGCATTGGTAATAGTGAGTCTTGTAAGCCTTGCTCCATAGTAATCTATAATGTAACTAGAGCCATCGGAAGGTCCAACAATCTGCAAGAGAAAAAGAACCAAGTGTTTTCAATACGCAGTGAAATATACACTTTGTGCTAACACCTCAATTACTGCTAATTTTCCCTTCATAAAATTAGTCATGCTTAATTAGTCAAACAGAAACTAGATTTATTTTGAAGTTATGCTGTAGTTTAACTATTTTAGCGAGCGCTGTCTCTCAAGGAACATCTCCCTTGGGCTCTAATCAACCAAATTACACAGCCAGGCTCTGGCATTAAGTTAAATCGACAGGGATTTGAGTCACAAAATCAGGCTAACGAATGAGGGACCTCCAAAGAGCTTTTCCTGAACAAAGGAGGCGAGGTAAAAGTGAATTAGGCTGCAGTAAGTATCTCRGAGAGGTTGCACAGGTAAGGAAGAAAGAGGCAAGACTGTGGCTTTTTTGTTCCAGGACTGATAAATTGATGCAGGGTCAAAAGGCAGATGAGTAAAGAGAGATGAAAGCTCCTCACAACCTGGTCTGCGAGTGRTATGATGTAAGGTCATAGTATAGAAAATAGCAGTATACTACTGCCATASTATAGAAAAGCATTTGAGAATATACACACTTGGAAAGATTAGTGATACACAAAAGACAGATTTACAAGAAACATAATTCTTATATTTTTCTATAAACACATACAAGGAATTTCTATGCTCACCATGTGCTTTAGGTTTGACAAAGGCAATTTATAGCGCAGGCTAAATGGATGCACTCTAGAATAAGACAACGTGGCAATTTCATGACATCACAAGATGTCACTTACGCACTAAGCATCCCACAGCCACAAGGCTCAGGTGATATGAGACTGCTACGTGCAGCAGAAGCAGGAAATAAAAAGTGGCAAAGTCTCCTTTCCTGCCTGCTGTTTGCACCCCCAGGCGATCGGCTCCATCATTAATTAAACACATGCAAGCACAGAACTTCACAGGCAGGTCTTGTTTCAGGAATACCAGGACATCTCATGTAATTCTAACTCTGTGTGTCACATAAAAAGCTCATCAGTTCTGACACAATGAATTTACAGTGGTTTAGCTTCCAGGCTATAGTCAAGTGGTAGATTCATTATGGGTATTTAGAGAGAGCTAATCTAGCTGAATTTTAATTCAAGCTATAAATATATTCATATTTTGTATCCATAATATCAATTTATGCTAAAGTAAATGTTTTGATTTTTCAATATTGCAAAGGAAAGGTTCTTAAGGCTTAAATGTTTACAAAGACTTAGGGATCAAATCAAAGCCTTAACAAACACAAACAGATTGTATCTTGTTTTGAAAGCACCAACTTACCTGCATTGAAATAAGTATAAAATCAATCAGGCTACCAATTCCACAGAATCCTACAGTGCAGAACTTGAGCAAACCTAAGAAAAGGAATCAAAATTTAATTGCATCTTCAAGCTAGTTACTGTATAGATTCATATGTTTCTGATGGCAATCACATCYAAATTCTCCCATCCTACAGAACACATACTTCCAAAAAGAAAAACCAAATTAAAGATCTTTAACTACCAGAGAAAAAAAACAACATGAATATTCACATTTCTGTACTACCCTGAGGACACTTAGAGGATTTTAAGCATACCTTTTTCTAAATAGACAAAAATTCATTGAAGAAATGARGTTGATGAACAAGTTACTGATTTTTTTCCTTTCTCTGATAATAGACTGAAAAAAAGTTCCCAACTAGAAAATTTACTTTTCAATGTATATAACATAATACATACATACTTTATATATATGTATATATATATATACACACACACATAGGCACATATATAAAACATGTTTACTTCTGAATAGTGAGTAATTAGAGATTCGTTTGTATGAATAAATGAAAGATTAATAGCAAATATATAGGCATAGTGATTAACTTTCTCACTCTGGGAGCTCTCTGTGAAAGGCTGACATTACATTTGGGATATGTCCTCAGAAAAAGAAAAAACAAAAGACTAAGAATTTTCTTTAAAATATCAACAGCTTCTCATGCAAGGAATGTAACACAATGAGTGCTATATTTATTGTGAGACAATACTTCAGTTTCAGCTAGACAAACATCCAGGCTATTTTGAGAATGAAATGCTCATTTTGAAGACATTCGCAACTTTACCCTGGAACAGAAAGTGGGAAGAGGAAAGCACAGACTTTGCAGTTAGGGCAGCTGTGAGCTACATTGCACAGGGCTTGAGAGAGGTCCTTGCTGCAGAGCGAGCCCTCGTCACGCTCACCGGGGCCGGCAGATTGCGAYGGGGAGAGCAGCCCGCGGCGCCTCTTCCCCACAGCGCAGGGATGCCTCCAAGTYGTGCTCTTCTAGGTAAAAGCAGATGCTTTCCAGGGTGATTCTGCTTGCAGTCAAGTACCTGAAGGTCTCCAGACCTTTTCCTCCTGTTTCTCACTCCCCCTCTCACAGGAGCACCCATCTGTCCAGCTGATTCCCTCCTCTCCCCTTGTGCCCTGTTTCTGTGGCTGAACACGGAGGAGAGGGAATTTGATGCTTGAGCAGAGATGGGGAGTAACTGCTTGCATGCTGGAGGAGGAGCATCCCACCACCTGGGAGAGCTCCCATGCTGGACACGAGGACACTAGTCTGAGCTATAAACCTCCAGGAGAGAGTTTATAATTACTCTGTGGAACAGGAGCAAATAGAGAAAACCTAACAGGAAAAATATACCTAGTGACCATGAGGATGAGAGTAGTAGCAGGACAYTCTTTCAGCTTATTAAAAGGCAAGTCCACAAACATTACACTTAAGTGGTGCCACTTACATCTGCAAAAAAAAAGACCTAAGTATATCAGTGTTGGAAACAATTTGTTCCCCGTGGCTGACATGTGAGACTTGCAGCAGTCAACCGCAGTTAGCCTGGATGTCTGTATTGACAATTGCATAAAAAGAAAAGCAAAGAGAAACAACCAGCTACAGAAACACTAGCCTTAGGAAAGAGCAGTCAAGACAACTAAATAATATCAAGTCTTTGGTGAATATAATTCACTTCTGTATTATCTCTGCAGCAAGTGTAGTCACCATTTAAAATATTTTTGACATTTATTGTAAGATCCCCTCTCAGGCTCCAGTCCTGGTCCTCACTGTCCGTTGGATAGTTGGGAATCCAGCAGTTCAATGGAAGCACTGCTGGTTCCAGCAGCCATTCCAAGCAACACATGAGGAAGGGGCTGCACCTTGGTGAGGCATTTTCCAAGAGTTTACTGGTACAGAAGAACTGCTTCTGAACCTGGTGGGTGTTTGAAGAGCACGGGGTAAAGTTGGTCATTTGCCCTCCTCCTTGCTTCCCTCCCCACAAGCAGAGTGCTCGGAGAAAATAAACTGCTCTGAAGCACRGAGGAAAAAATAGCAGTCCTAGGCAGCAATAACTTATGGTTTACTGCACAATGTGGGGGAGAGGAAGGGGTTGCCTTCCATTCAACTTTACTGTTTTACTGGTTTCTCCATATTCAATAGCTGGTTTGTTATTTGTTGTGCTCCCTTTAAGCACAAGGAGAGAAAAAAAAAAGATTATTTAAATTTTTCATTACATTTGCTCAAAATATTTCAATGCCATTGCTTTTCTTTAGCAGAACTTTGGCCAAGACATGGATGACCTGAAAAATTAACCACTGCCAAGAAATCCAATTTATTGATTTTATCTTCCTGCATTTCTACACTTATGTATTTGCTTTTTTTTTTTTCTTTACCTTTCAAAGGCTTGAAAAATTGCCATCAGAAGAGTTTAATTGTAAGAGTATTAGCTTAGGTTACTCACTTCAGTATATTCCAGTAGGGTTGGCAAGCATGAAACATTCAAGGCTACTATACAGGGAYACAGGATTCACAAGTCTATAATATATTACAATATGATTGCTGCAAATTATTATTCCAAAAGCCATACTGAAATACATTTTCAGCCACTGATGTAACAAAAAAAATGTTTCTTATTAACTGCTTCAAAAATGATATATTTTCGTGAAACAGATGGATAAAGTAAGTGTTAATTATAGAATCTCAGGGAAATAAAGACACATATGTTAACACATGATTAGCCAGAAGAACAGATAATATTCTTAAGGAACCCAAGAGTTTGCATATAATGGGCAGAAACTCAAAACTTCCAACAGAACTGAGAGTGGGCATATGTTTTTTCCAATTTTTTSCCCCTGCCATCTAGACTTAGAAGTACTTCCATTTATCTGGCTCAGGAATAAACAAAGAAAATCATAGTCYCTGAAAGCAGTTCTTTGGATATTTAGGTATTTTATAATTTAAAAGCCAGTGACACCATCAGGTCCTAGAAAACACGACCAGAGTTGTTCTTACTAAAGGTCACGACTTCTGCAGAACTGTTACTAATGCTATGAGCTATCTTGAACACATGCATTTTTAAGAACAAATTCTGTGTGCCAAAACACTGATTTTATAATATTGTCGAGTTTGTCCGCTATTTCCCTCGTAGAATCAAACATCATTTAACTAACTGGCACATCAGCCAAAACCATTTCTGCTCAGAGCCTCATAGAGAATGCAGTGGTAAATGTCAATGTAAAGCAAAACTCCGAATGGCAATAATCAAACTAGGAATGGTAATGATGTTTAGAACGGTTTTATCTGCCGGGCAACTGTGCATCCTTTTAGCAGCACTTACTCCAACGTGTGGATTTTATTTCATAGCCATTTTAAGTGGCAAAACCTGAGTAGAAGGCATACATAGGAGAAGTACATACATGCAGGATTTTATTTCACAAGACCTCAAGCATTCTAGTTGTAAGTATGGAAAATTACGACAGTTAAAGATTATTACTCAAAATGTAAGTATATGCATACAGCTCAATTAAACAGCAATCTTGAGCTCAAAGAAAAGACAAACTCACCCAAGGCAGGATAGCCTAGATAAAATCTATCTGCTCCCAGCCATCCAAGAAATAGAGAGAGAGCCACTGCCACTTTGTAGGAGTATCCATTCCTGCCAAAACATACAAACAATGTAGACAATGAACTGCAGAAATATATTCACTCACAAAGCATATTTTTGAAATTTAAAGGAATGACTCATTTTTCTGCTGTTCCAGTTTACCAAAAAGAAGGAGGTGGGGGGAAGGTCAAACTTATTTATCTTCAACCAATGGACACAGAAYTGATAGTGTTCAGCTTTCAATCCTCCATAAAGCAACCTCAGTCACTGCAACTCCAGGGTACTGCACTACTCTACTCTTTAAGAATATAGGTTATTTTCCTGAAATCAAACTATCATTGTTTGTCACGAGAGACATAACTTGCTTGCGGATATTCCYATTTACAGAGCGCTTCCCAAGAGCTCAGCCCTACTGAGGCCACACTGGAAAGCCAAGTGGTGCCCGTGTACTCACATCCAGCCAAAGAGAGAGAACAGGGTACATGATAAGATGACAGCAAAGGCAGTAATTGTGAGGGCACTTGGAGAAGACTTGAACTAGTTGAAGAAGCTGCAGAAAGTGTTCAGTCAAAACTATCTATGTTCAGGCAAAACTATCTGTTTGTAACTGTTGATCTTTAATATGTGAATTTTTTTAATGCCTGAACTGTTGACCACACAAGGACGTATTGTGGTAAAGGTACCCTAAAGTTAAGCACTCCGTGGTTAGGTATGCAAAATACACAGATACAAGCGGCAGCAGAATCCTCAGATTTTCTGAGATTTACACTAATCTTGCCAACGGCTGGAGTGAGGTGGACACAACCACCAGTAATTTTCAGTCAGTGCTGACGTGAACTTTATGCTAATAACCAAGCTAGGAACACATAGCTATTAATCCTAGAACTATCCTCTGCTGCACCAGGGAACAGCCACTCTTTGAAAAGAAAAGCAAACACAAATGTAATTAGAACCTTAAAAATATTCAATAATTCACTGTTTTGATACGTGCATTACCATGTGCCAGCAACTACTTAATAAGCTCAAATTAAACTCCTGGTTAAGAGCTGAATGAAACATACAGTTTCACAAAGACAGTAGCTGAGAAAATCCTAGCACCTTTATTAAGCGCTTTTAATGCCAAATAAAGATCTACATTTTTGCTTATTATCTAGATTTATTGACTTTAAAACTTCATGGCAATATTAGGTGATTAAACCATGACTCTTACCTCAATATTTGTTACTTGGTGCTTATTAGCAACACAGAACATAGCGGGCCTTCCTGGAACCTAATGTAATGTAAATTACCATCTTTAGAAATATCCTGTTTCCACTGTGAAGAACACTAATGGTTTTATTTAAAAGTTAGGGTAAATTTTCAGAAATTATTTATCAACTATAAAGTRTCAACAATCATTGGAGGACACTAAAGCATAAAAACAATCTTTATGTAAAAGTGGGAGAACAATTTAATATGAGATGTTTCTGATCAAACACAGTAATAAACTAAACTGAGCACCTGCCTATGCACTGGGTGTTTTTTAAACAGACATCAACCTAGTCAACATGAAACTGAAGAGATCTCATATGAAGTGGAAGCATCTTCATTCTGTATCAAGTCTGCATCCGCTCCTGTATTTCCTTTATCTTACTCATTCTCTTAGCTCAAACAAAAGAAAACCCTCAAGACTAACAGAGCAAGCAGGGAAAYAATGCTTCCTGATCTAAAACCAAAGGAATTTCTACAGTGGGATAAAAGATAAAATTTTCTTTCAGTTGTTCCTCTGAATTTTTCCTGTTTGTGTTCCTCAGYATCACCCAATCTTTATTTTTTCTGCATACATTTTGCTCAGTTACCATATCAGAAAYTGTTTTTTCCTGCTCTCTATGCCAGTTGATACTCTGCAAGTATTGCTATAGGTCACATTGGATTCTGTGCTCTTTCAGGGTCTCTTATCAATGCTTAAATATCTSTCTACATGGAACTTGGTATATTTTACAGACTATCATTTTATAGTCTGTTTGCCTGGAATGAGCAGACTTGAATGATGGATGTATTCCAGTCCACAAAATCAAGCCCATATTAAGCAAAATACAGAGCCAATTTAAGGAGCTCTAGAATTTAGCAAAAAACGACCACCAAAAATCAAATTAAAACCAAACCAAAGCAAACCTAACTTCCATTTCAGCAAAAGCTGGAGCAAATTTCTTAGCACTTACAAACTTTTCCTGGAACAAACACTACGAGCAACTGTCTTCAATATGTCCATTTAAACATACATTCAACTTAGTGTGCTAGTCTTGTCCTAAAAGCTAGCACTATCCAACTTTCTGGATTCCAGATCTGTACTGCTGTTACAGCATGGTTTGAATATGGAAAACTTTCTGATTTGCCCCTTGCTACAGGAAGGAATAGACATTATCCTACAGCCCTCTCAGCACAGTCCCACTGCAGAAAGATTTCCTGATTCAAAAGAGATGCGGCTGTTTCTTGCTGAAGACAGTCACAATTTCACAAAAAAAAAAGCTCAAACAAGATGCTCCAAAGGCAGCAGAACAGGCAAGATTATTGTAGAATATCAAGTTAGATATTCCTGCTTGAAATAATGGTTCTAAGACTTAGCTAATATTTAAAATGCCTTATAAAAGGCTGATTGAGYGATTAGACCACTTTTTAACAAACATATATATGCAAGCTGGCAATATTAATCCTTCTGCTGTTTTTACTTGGCTTTGAGACTTTATCAAGGAGATGCTGCCAAAACTCTTCCTATAGTCACAGTGGGACTTTAAGGGGAATTTTCAGTCCACAAAAATTCTTGTTGCCTCTCTGCCATATAAACAGCCATGGAACTGGAAAAGTCACAGCAAGTTTAGTAGCACAGTCATCATATTATTTCATCATAAATAATAGTCATCATAAGGAGCCCACCATTTTTACTGCCTACTGAAAAGTTAATATAGAACGATCCCTATATTGCCTTTAATCTTTTTAAATCCATGTGTATCTGTTTTTAAATTCATACAGAAAACACAAACTTACAAGAAAAAATATTCTAGAAAATCACTAGAAAAGAAATAGCAAACAAAAGTGAATATATATGCAAAACTCCAAAACATAAGGTTTACATTTATTTCAGAAACTAAGCAATTTTTATTAAACTAGTTTAACTCATCTTTTTCTCAGTCCCCATCACTGTCAAGACTCAAATGCAGCTGTTTCTGGACAAAAACGTGCCTGAAGTCTAGTTTGCTAGCATTTAAATTTGATTAGATAAAATACTATGTTTTCTTGAATTTCCTGAGCTTTGACTTATGAGAAGACTATGTACAGAGAAAATATTAATGAAATTGAGAGGCAGAGCCATACTTCTGATTTGGGCAAATTACTGAGCAGAGTTATTTGCCCACCAGAATGATGAGGAATATCCTGGAGAATTACAGGAGTTATAATTTCCAAAGATTTCCAAAGACTCTGCAGCTGGACAAAAGAAAAAGGCTCCAGTATGAATCCCACTTTAAAAAAAAAAAGGAGAAACAAATGGTAACGACAGGTGTTCTCTGATCATTAACACAGGCTAGTTGGAACATTTATGGTATCCTTTGCTCATGATCAGCCTCAGAAGAATCAAGTTCATCATGTTCACATTTCAGAAACAGCCCCTTAAAGAGATGTAAAGGTTCTTTCAGAAGAGAGAGCAGATCATCTTTTATCTCTCTCATCCTCACGCTGCCCTCRCGCTCGTGCCGGCACAAGCACCGATGTGACTCTGCTGCCACTCATCTTGGGGACCTGCTCCACTTTAGTTCAAAGCCAGATGAGCTTCCTACTCCACTGGACAACGCACTATGTCAGGCGAAGGGATGGAGAGGAGTCATCAAGCTGCTCTTTAAGCAGCTGTGCTGGTTTTTAGCATGTGTGAAAATGCAGCCTTAGTATTCATGGCAAATCTTCAGTAGGGTAAGTACTAAGGTAAAGACACAAACATAATTAAACAAACAAGCGTGCAACATAGAGACAGATTTACTTATAAACATGTATATCTCGGCATTAAACTACTTTACTTTTTATTAGAACGTTAAGTACTGTGCAACATGTGTGCAGCGTTCTATCTCCTTATTTCTCTTTTTTCTTCTGCCAACACATCATACTATTTTAGAAACACTTTAATGTGAAAATAAGGGCAAACTATTACAAAACACAGTAATGTACTTACACGTTACGACACGCGATAGGCTTGTAAAATCCAACTTCATTTCCAGTAAAGACTTTTTCTATGCCAAGGTGATCTTTGCAACTAATATTTGGTGCTGGTAGACACTGAACTAAGGGCAGAAAAATTATTTAAATTTAGACCTGGGATTGTTGTGTTTTTCTGACAAGCCATGTGAAACAAGTGAACTAAACAAAGTTACATTGTGAAAGTCACGCTACACATCATATATAAGGGCTTATCACTGGTGACTGAATTTCTCATAGTCAACCCTATGAATAACTGTATTTTTACATGATAGATATTAAGCAAAATATGCAAGGCTAACTGCCGCTCTAATTCTGTTGCACTTTCTACTTTTTGTTCCATTGTGAGTCAATGAGAGGTCTGAACCGGACATACGGAAAACATTTTCATCCTGGGAACAGTCAAACATTGGAACAAGCTGAAAATGGAGAGATGGATCTCCATCCTTGGAGGTTTTCAGGATCTTACTGGACAGCCTGGTGCAACTTCACGTGAATTCAGCGCTGTCTCTGCTYGGAGCAGGAGGTTGGGTGATGGGACTTCCTGGGGTCTCTCCCAGCCTAATTATTCTATGATTCTAATCTAAAGTTCAACTCATAAACAAGCCAATGTGGAAATCACAAAAGAAAGTGACATCTGCTAAAGGTTTGCAATACATTAGCAGAATATTAATCACCCTCCAATGTTGAAGTAAGTTGCTCCAAAGGGCCAAAATCCAGTCCTTGCTCTACTTTCTATTACTAGTTTTCAGGACTTGCGAGTTCTTTCTAACTTCAGCCAAGTTCAATATTTCTTTTCTGATTTTCCAATAGTACTTACAGGCAGGGAGGCTACAAATGGATTTGGTTGTGTTTCTTTTTAAATATCTGTCYGCATTGTGCATGGATCAAAATACCTAATTTCCTGGTCAGTATCAATAACACCTGAAAATATGAGCTAAGTCTGCACTATGTGGATGTTACTGATTAATGTGCTTAATCTAAGACAGTTCTAGCCTGCTTTACAGACCTATATTTTTTGTTTATTTGTTTTTGCTTTGTAAATGAGCTAAGATAACAGTGCATTCTTTTATTTAGAGGAAACACACAGTGATTAAAATGCATTAAGATGGTAAAGGCCACATTTTTTCCTGTCAATGTCATGCTAGGAGGCCTCCAAACCAGCTACTAAATGAAACTACTCAGATGCTTAAAAGTAAACCAGTATTTTGGGGGGTGAYGGGACCTAGAAATATGTTTACAGACTGTTGTGTTTCAATTTTGATCCAGAAGATTAACTTTTTATTACTTAGATAGTACTGACAAGCAAAATTCAGATACTGTGGGGACCATGTAAAGACTGTTATGTGCATAAAAACTATACTGACCCAGAAAATAACAATTAGATGATTTAGCAATTTTACTGCTTAAATTCTGTTCAAAAGTATGTTGCATTAAATGTATATACCCACTAAATAGTCAGACATGACTAACACTGATCTGTGATCCATCTCCAGCTACAGACAAGCTAAACACAGCTAGTAACCTCGTGACCAATTTCATCTGCCATACTCAAATGAGCATCCGAATTTAACATCAAAAGTTATGCAACTATTTGCAAAACAGTCTAATGACACCAAAACCTCCTGAAAATGAAATACACCGTTTTTTTCCTTAAAAGATATGAAAAAGGGGAAGGTTTTGAGGCTCTTATGCCTTATGGTAATTCTTCTTTTAACAAGTATATGCAAAATCTAGTACGATAGCAATAGGCTGTTTTAATTAGGGTAGTGAAAGATGTAAGCAGATCCTAGATCCTAGAAGATGTAACACAAACTAAAGAGATTTACTGAAAACTTCACTTGCAAATATACTAGTAATAGATAACACATTTGTTCATTACTGATTCCCTGTTTTAAGAAGCTCATCTAGCCGCTATACAAACGCATGATCTGAACACATTCTTGGAAAATGCAGTTACCATCAATACATGTCAGAAGTTGAAAATCCTTACCATATGCTGTGTGATTTGTACAATTCATCGGTTCTTGCGTACTATTGTCTATTTTAGGCTCATCACAAATATATGTTCAGCTAATTGAGGAAAAACATTTTTCATATCAAACAGCAACACAAGTTGAGTATTAATTTATTCCGCCCTCTCTAACCCCTGAGGATTTAASATGTACCTTCCTACCCAAAACACGAACAGCACATTACTTTGCAACAAAGCCCTCACTTCAATTTAATACATAAATATATTGCACACACTTCACATCTAATTAGTGCTGCAGTCAGCAGTATGGGAAGGAAAAATAATATTTATTGGTCCTGGCTTCTGCAGGCAGGCAAGGTAGCACAGCTCACCTAGCCCACTTTCCTACCCAGGGACATTTAAACAAAAGTTTATTCAGTTTATTCAGTGGAGAGATTTAAATCCACTGCAATACCCAAAACTCAAAAGTGACCACTGGAAAGCGAGCGCTCGGATCACTGGGAATTGGGAGTCGGATGAATGCGGGCAGCAGCTCACTCCCAGAGGTCTCTCATCCTGCAGGCAGGCGCAGTGGGGATGAGGTTAAATTTTCTGGGATTTGCTCTCCTGACACTTTCGATCCGCAGCCATGTGGATAATGCTGGGATGAGGTCTGAGCTGCCTTGCGGGAGACAGGCGCTTTCTAGCTAACCCTCAGACCTGCTAACTGGCACTCCAGAGGGAGACGGGGTTTTTGCAAAGTCGGTGCACCTCACTATATTATCCTGAAAATTATTTTATTTTCAGAGGGGCTCAGGGGGCTGACATCCCGTAGAGTTTTATCGATGAAAACACCCCCAATCTACACCCCAAACCTACCAATTCCCCATCTGGAATGGAGAATGAAGCCCCATCGGGAACCCCTCGGGAGCGGGGGCTCCTGAGGCGCCCTCCGCCCCGCGAGGGGCGCGCAGGACCCGCCATCCCGCCCCTCCATCTCCCCCTTCCCCTCGCAGGGATCCGGCTCCATCCGGATCGCCCCGCCGCGTCGCCACAGCAACCGCCCCCGCCGCGCCCGCCGCCATGGCGCTCAGGATATTGCCCCAGCCGCAGCTCCTCGCACTTGAGCGGCGCCTCCCGGCCCGCCGCGCCCGCCAACCAGAGCAGAAGCAGGAGCCGGGCCTCCGACGCGCCTCGCCGCCCGCCCGGGCCCGCCGGCAGCCGCCCCGGCCGCGCGGCCATCATGGAAACGAGCCGCTCCCGTCAGCTGACTCGCCCGCGGCGCCGCGGGGAGAGGCGGCTGAGGAGCCGCGGCGCAGGGCACAGGGGAGTTTTCTCCTSGTTGTTCTCGAGTTGTTGACGTGCTTAAGGGGGGTTATTTTGTGTGTTTGTGTTTTTTGATTGTTTGTTTTCGTTTTGACAGGAACACTGCTCCTGCCCAGCACCAAAGGCAAAGCCTGCCCCCTTGCCAAGATGGCTGCGGAGCCGGCGGCTTTTGCCCGGAACAAAGATGGCTGCCGCGCCCTTACGTTACGCGACGTGCGTGACGTCACCGCAGCTGCCCTTACTTAAGATGTCTGCCGTTCSGTTCGCCCGCCTTTTGCCCGGCCGTTGAGGGGGGTGTCGCTTTTCCGCGCTGTGTGCGGAGCAAATGCGCAGCGCTCCTATAAAAGTCTTATTTTAACTTTAAACTGAGTGTATGGTCAACTGCGCCTTTGTAGATCTTGTTAATGAAATATTACTAAGTGTCCGGAGTGGGTAAGCTTTATATATATGATATATTATTTTTAAAGGAATTTCAGAAGTTACCGTTCTTGTTTTTCTCTTTGGAGTTATTTCCTGAAAAACACATGGGGACCTGGACACTGGAAGCGGTTGGAAGTAGTTTCCAGAGAGTGTTTAGCAGAATGCCCTGTATTATCCAGCCTTTCTGTTTTTTATTCTTTTTTCTGTGGTTGATTACTTCCATGAGCAAACGGTTACARGCACCTGAATCTGTTTGTGCCAGGGTATATCGGCTGCAAACCTGCATAATTAGTGGAAATACAGGCCTAAAACGTAGGGGTTTTCCCACCGGTGGTTGATCATTATTTGTTGGTGTGAGATATTGCCACCTCATRGTTTTTTGTTTTTTGTTTTTCCCTCTCCTCTCTCCTTTCTCTAAATTTGCAGCTCGGAGCTGGGCAGGCAGAGCCCAGCTGTCCCTCCCCACCAATATAACCTTAATTAAAACAAAACTGAGAGGCAGGAGTGGGAAGTTTGGAATCCACACCCTTAAAGCATGAGGGTGATGTGCTTTATGTTCTTAGTGTGGTATATATCTTACTTATATGTAAGGAAAGCAAGGGGCACGCAGGAAGAAAAGTCRCTGCTCGTGGGGCAGAATTCACGTTCAAATCTTTCCTGTCTTTCCGAGTGTAGCCAGCAGGGCTGTGCGTCATCTATTAGGGATAATCTAGAGTAAAAGCTATTCTTTGGTGGGATTTTTTTGCTATTTTTGATAAAAGGCGGGAGGGAAAGCCGGCTAATGCAGCTGTATTTGAAGGCATGCAAAGCCTCCGCAGTTCCCCCGCTCTCAAAGCACGCTTGGCGCTCTGAGACGCGCTGTGCCCGCCTCTGTCTTTACTTTTTCCCTCATGGCCCCCTCCCGAGGCGACAGCCGGCCCCGGGGCAGGCGCCCGGGCAGCGGGAGGGCGGCCCCGCCGCCCCGCTCCGGCCCCCGGGGGCGGCTCTCCCGCCGCGCCGCCCCGGCTTCCTGCGCCGCAGGTGCTTCCCGCTTCCGCCCAGGTGCGAGCCGGCGGCCATGGCAGGTAACGCCGCGCGCCGCCGCCGCCCTCGCGGGGAGGCCCCGGCGCGGGGCGGCCGCGGGAGGGGACGGGGACGGCGCCGGCCGCGAGGCGGGCCCCTCGCGACGGGGTCTCGAGGAAGCGTCGCGCCCCGCCGAGCTCCTCCTTTGCAGCCCCGTGCTGCCCTGCGTGTTTTGCTCCTGGCCGGGCTTCCCGCGTGGCGCTGCGCGGAGGTGGCCGAGCCTCGGYCTCTTAGCGGCGCATTCGCTCGTTGCAAGCGGGCGACGAGGCGCTGCGCAGTTTCGGGGACACTTTGCTCAAAGGCTTTCAGTTCAGAGACCCTTAAATGAACAGCTTTTTATTTTTCACTCAGGTTGGATGAAGGGAAGCAATGCCTTGAGTTTCTAAGCTTCAGAAAACACCYTTCTAGATCCAGGTGCAACAACTCCCGTCCCACCTGAAGCGCTTTACTTGTGCCACAGCTCTCTGTAATAACTTTCAGGTTTGCTGTTTAATTTCCCCGATTGGATCCTGGAAGCACAGTCCTTGCCAGAACAGGTTTCTGAGCACAGCTCCGCTGAGAGTGGCTTCAACCTGAGCTTAGCCTTTTATTAGACATCAGAGAATCCRCATCGGCACATYCCCTCCAGGCTCAAGTCCWTGGGAATTCAGGTTCTGCTTGTTAAAGCTTAGCATGGCTTGGGAATGAGTAAGGTTGGTCTCAGTTGGTGCAGTGGTTCTCAGGTGCATATGGTKTCATTTGTTTTCATCACCTTCCAGTCACTAGACCTCCGCAGGTCCATGGATCGGTTATTTCATGTGCAARAACACTTCCCTTTAACCTGCTTCATCCCAGAGGAATGTGCTATCTTTATACGTAGGTATTTGCRGCACGATTCAATTATCTGCTCCTTTCAAGTGCTTGAGATGGTCAATACAACTTGTAGAAAGTTTTGAGATACTGGAAAACTGGAGAGCTGTGACACTTTTTWAAAAAACTATAATGTTTATGTGGAGCAGCAAGATCTTTGCTTACAGTGGCCTTCTCTGAAAGGTGTGTCTATGCTAAACATTTTTTTGTTACTAGAGTGGAAAACTGAGTTAGCCTACTGTGTAAAGTGGCAAAATGTAGTATATTTCTTCAGTAGCACATGGTTATAGGAAGACTTCAAGTATACTGTTTTTAAAATCTCAAGTAATAGGTGATGCTGAGGTAGAACCCTTTAGGATTGAGGTGAGTGTAGCAAATGCCGTCTTCTCTTTTTGTCAAACTTTAAACCTGATGGGCTGAAATTTTCCAAGTTGGAGGTGTCTCCTGGACTGGTGAAGGAAAAAACATGCAGTGTATGCTCACTCTTGGAAAAATTCCAAATGCATTAGTGCAGAAAGGTGACTTTGGACAGGGATGTACTCCTTGCTGTTCCCGTGACGATCTGCCTGGCTTGGCTAYGTTAGAAGCCCTTGAAAAATAGCAGCAGTTGGAACTTGCTGCACAGCRAGGACGTGTGTCCTGGAGTTAATGTCCCAGAAGGTGCCACGCACACTAAGGGTAGTTGCCCTTGCACTAGTCACAACTTTATTATTACTATTATTATTAAAGAAAGGTTTGTTTTGTGTAAGGATCCAAGTCATAGCATTTTGCCCCAAACCTATTGAAACTTTATTACTCTGTGGTACATTGAGTTCAGCTCTCACAACTGAAGACAGTAAACCCAGTTGCACATTGTACAGAATAGAGGGKTTTTTTTGTGGTGTTTGACCACACTAAGCTTTATGAAATTCATGATTTTTGGCAATGGTTTTATGGTGATACTGGGAGCTGTGATGTGAATTTTGAGCTTTGAGGTTTGCTGTTTTGTCTAGCGGATAAATAGGTGGCCGCAGAAGTGCGGGAATGGGGCTGGGAAAGTTCAGCACGGAGTGGATGAGCTGTTTTTGAGAGCCCAAACCGTTGTGTTYTGGATCACTCTCCAAAACCAATGTATAGGCTGGGATCTGCTAATTTAGCAACTTCTGTCTGTTGACACCTCACTCAAAATTAGCATCCGGGTTTGGAAATGGTTTAGCCATGAGCTGTTTGGGTCCCCAGACATAAACCGATCAGTAATTTCTGGGGCTGTGCATTTCCCTGGCCCCCGAGAGCCAGTTAGGGAGCTGTCATCACTTACCCATTACTTGAAAACTTTCAACTTGATATTCTCAGAGATCCCCTTACAACAGAAGGAGCTATCTGTTTGCTTTAAAATAAAACACTCCCTTTTTTACTTKGAGAGAAGAAAGGAGAAGAAAGAAATACTGATGGTGGTTTAAATATGTAGCCCCTCAAAAATCATTGCAACCTGGCTAGAGGCCAGCTTGGGTCACGAGGAATCCCCGAGTGCTGTGTAAACTTGAATGGTTCCTGAATTGTACCCAAGGTCCATCCACTTCAGCTGCCTCTGCAGCAAAATGGTCTGCAATAGCTCTGAGCAGCAGCTAAAGCAGGAAGGAGAAACTTTGTGTGTGTTTTGTTCTGTGTTATTTTTTTCCTGCTTTTTTACCTCTTTCTCCAGGGGTCCTCTGTGTGTTAGATGGAGCCTGGGCGTCTTACATTTTTCAGCTCTAATTTTTCTTTTTTTGGCTCTGTACCCATTGTCATAATTGCTGTTGCTACACCCGCTGTAGTGGAGAAAAGTATTAATCTTGGAGCCTGTCAGTGCGTCTCGTAGAGGTGGTTTCTGAGTGACGCAGGCAATTTCTCMGGGTGCAGTTTGCCAGAGCTGCTGCAAATGCTGCTGCAAGGGGAGTCTATGTCCTGCTCATGCCCCTTTGCCCCTAAGGTGTAATGCTGCTTAAAGGTGTTTYAGGTCACTTTTTGCATTTTTTACTGATGTAGGCTAGCCTGCTTTAGGAGTTTTTCCCTTTTTTTAACCGCTGATGTGAAGTGTGAGGAAAAGGAAAGGAAATGAATGGAGGCAAGTAAAATTTGAAAGAAAAAATAATTTTCATAGTCTTTGTCCCGGTTTGTTAAGGTCCATGGGATGTTTTTGGTCAAGGAGGTCAAGTTCCCCCCCCCCCTTATTTTTTTTGTTTAGATGAAGACCTAAGAATATATTAGAAAATGGTATTTTCATCTGTTCTTCATAATCAGAACTTAGCATAGAATCAAAGACTGCCGTGCTCTTAGAAGTGTTTTATTTCAAATGGAAAAGAAAATAGAGCTTCAGTGCTTGCAAAAGTTCAGATGCATTCCTGAAAATCTTTTGGGGTTGTTCGGGTTTGCAGCCTCAGCCCTTGCTATGAGTTTGATTTAAAATGACCTCCTAAATCTGTTAATAGACTTGCAAGGCGACTCATTTTGCTTGGCCCTAGGTAGAAATCATGCAAACCCACTGAGTTCTGCAGAAATTCTTCTAATAGCCAAAACTGCTCAGAGACAGTAAAGGCTCCATAAATCTAAAACTGTGGTTTGTAACACACCTCTAACACACCTTTTTTTTTTTTTTCATTAGTTTATAGCAGCTTAATCTCTGTCTTTTGGGAGAAGAGCAGCTATTGTATTACCCTGTTTTCATTTGCAATAGCACCTTGGACACATAGAGCTCGATCCTCACAACYTGGACTTTTTTATTCTGAGCACAGCAAGTATCAGAGGCAGAGCCGAGAGAGTCAGGGCTCTCTGGGAGATGGTCTCTGGCATCTGCTTACCATTAATTTACATTGAATTGCAAGATGAAGAGAGTTCTTTATATGCCTGTTTTAAAATATTTTGAAATTACATAGTTATTTAGTGGGTAGGGTCAAAATTAGATAAATTGTGCTGTTGAATAGTTGATTTTGTTCAGAGGAGTTTGCACTGACTGAAGAAATCTTGTGTGTGTTTTGGTTTGACTGCCTTGACAGATTTCAGGATGACAGGCTCTGCATCAAGGTAATAACATGCACGTAAGGGTACACATTTATCATAACTACTAATTGCGAGTCAGTGTTTTTATACTGCCATCTAAGCCTGAACCACAGCTGGAGACCTGTTTTATTTGGCACTGTAGAGAAATATGACAAAGGATATTCTATTCCTTCGAAGCTTGTCATACAAATAGAAAGGACAAAGGGTGGTACATGTGGCAGAGAAGAAGTTTCTCCTACCTGTTCTGCAAGTCAGCACTAGGGTTAAAACTGAAGTCYCTTAAGGTGGTGTTGGGCTGGGAACTGATTTCATCAGTTTTAGGCCTTAATACTATGCTACCTTGTGTGTGGAGGCCTTATGGAATGGTTTCATAGAAGGATATAAGATGTCACCTATATTGATCTGTTGAAGAATAAGCTGCTGTGATAAGGGTACTGTCTACAAATAATTATATGGGAGAAAAGTATCTTTTAAATAGTAGAATTTCATCTACATGTGTTTGAAAAGGTCACAACTTTATTGTCTGTATTTAAAATAGTTTGACCGAACACAGCTGAAGCTCAATTTCAATGACTAATGTTGGGCTTTAAAATTTGTGTTCTCTATTGTAAAGAGGTGGATTTTTTTTGGTGTATGAAAGACAAAACACATAGAACAAGCAGAAATATTTTTCTTTACTGATGTCTCAGTGCAACTGGTTATGTTGAGAGCTGTTGAATACTTGGTAAACAAAAGGGAAAAGTAGATTTTTGTTAATTTTTTTATTGTCAACTACTAAGAGTATAGAATAAAATTAAGAAAGTGGTGTATTTTTTTTACTTTGTCTACTCTCTGATAAGTGGTATAATCTAATCCTTCCTTTAATTTTTGTAGCCAGTTTATTCTAGGTTATTCTGAGTAATTCCAAGAACACCCTTCAACATGCCTGAAAATCCTGCAGCAGGTATGTAGTCTTAAAGACTGCTTTTACTAAGCAGTGGGAAATGGAACTGTGTTCCTAACACGTTCTGTTTTGTGGTACAGATAAACAGCAGGTGCTGCAGATCCTTGACCGTCTGCAAGCAAAACTCCATGAAAAGAGAGATGCTCCACATAATGAAAACCTGACTGTTCTGCGTAACACGCTCAGGAGCCCTTTGTTCAACCAGATTCTGACTCTCCAGCAATCCATCAAGCAGCTGAAGGAACAAGTGAGTGTAGAGTAATTGTTGGTGTGATGATAACTGTATTTAACTTGGAACTTAAAACAGGACATGTAGGTGGGTGTTAATGAGGATGCCGCTGTTAATAGGCTGTTATTTGGTGTGATTTTGTGCTGCTGTTATTTGGTGTGATTGAGTGCTGTCTTTTTTTTTAAAGTTGGTATCTGCACAGTCCCTTTTGAAATAAGAGCCATTGCAACATACTGTAGTCATGGGGGCAACATGCTTTGAAAGGTATGCAGAGGAGGCAGGAATTAAGGACTACATCAATCTCGAAACAGGCGTCAGCAACAGGCATCAACTGCGGTAGCTTGAGCTCTGAACACAGTGGGAACTGGGGCCCTTTGTTTTTCCCAGAAGCTAAATGCTGTTTATCAACTGACTGGCAGCATCTTGCCTCTTCTAAAGACGGCATCGCCTGGTTCCTGCTGACTTGTACAAGCATAGTTAACCTGCTTGAGGAAATCTAGAAAACCACCCTTGAAGTTTTGCCAAGCACTGGTGTAGATGTRTCCGAGCTGGTTTTAAGTGAGTTAGCTCCAGCAGCAGAAGGGGCCTGTGTGGATTGGCTTATAATGCCATCTGGCCCTGGCATCTTGTGGACACAGGGATCGCTGACACATCTGTATGAACAGTTCTCATTGTGCAATTAGCTGTCAGGAATGCAAACTAAAATCAGGGACGAGGTGCTGTTATTGCACCTGCCCACCTGCAGATACAGTGGGGTCTGTAGGTCTCAGGTGAATGAGGCYATCTCGCCATCGTTTGCAAGTGTACTGGATGTGTTGTGCATGTTCCTATGTGGGTGGCATGGCAGTGCCATTCGTTCTGCCTTCTTCCCTTGTTCACATTGTTCAGGCTTCTTCCTTACAAAACTTGATACATGTTGCTKCAAGCTATTAAGTAAAAATAATAATAATAAACTGAAAATGCAAATAAATCTAGGATGATGTTTTGTAGCCGTGACAGTGGATTTTGTGTTTGGAATGTTAATAACTAGCAAATTTAGATGTTTATCARAATATTTTTTTAAAGTATTTCCCCTGTGCATGATGAGCAGTTTCATTCAGGAAAAAAAGTCTTCAGTTTACTYGGTCACATTGGTAGTATTTTTACAGTGCTGTGTTATCTGCCAGGACTGGAAACTGAACTGTCAGTTCTAGCAATAGTAGTAGTGTGTAGTAGTTGGTTTGTACTTTAGTCTCTCTGGGGAGATGTAACATAGAGCAGACCCTTGGCTCTTGAGTCCTGATGAGTGATTACTCATGAAAATCGTGATTCCTGTGCCCAAGCTATCTGGGTTTGCCTGATGATTGCTGCAGTGCCTCTTTTGTATTTGGTGCTTGTCTGTGTATTTTTTGGGGGAATGAGGGTAAAAAGAGGGAAATGGGCAAGGATGGGAGGGAATGGGAAGAAGCGTGAAACAAATGGAGAAAATTAGTGCAATAGAAACATTTGAAATCTTTGAAAACTTTCTTCTGAAAAGAGATTAAAATTTGTAGTATATTTCTCTGAATATGTAGATGCAAACATGTACATGCTTGCTTCGTTGTTAATCTGCATAAAAGGTCCTATACATGGAAATCTATTCTTACGTTTTAAATAGTTTTATTGCATCTTTGTTTTCAACAGCTTAATTACATGCCTCCGGACCGTTCGATAGAGTTTGATTTTACCAAGAGAGGGCTCCTGGTGTTTGCTGACAAATCAGTTACAAATGGGAGCTTGTGCAAACCTTGCAATTTGTCTGAAYCCAGAGCATCTCCTGTCATGACAAACCTAGAAGTTAATGAATTTAACACAATCATCCAACAGATGGCAAAGGTAAGGCTCTCAAGTCCAGTGCACAAGACTTATTTTCTTCTAGCGTTAGACTTTTCCATGTGTGCCTATGGAGTACTTTGCCAAACATACCTCTCTTSTCGTATATCTGAGAACCAGGAAGAGTTCAGAGCTGCTGAGGGTGATTTTTCCCCCATGAAAGATACCATCAAAACCAGAAAGTTTTTCTTTGCTTTTTTTTTTTAGTCCCTATCGAAAACACCAACATAGAAATTTCAGCTTCCAGTAAACATTTTTTGGCATTTGGTGACCCTTAATTGAAAATGGACATTTTCTGCAGAAACTTGTTTGGATGGAAAAACGCTTTTTCATCAAGTACATTTTGAATTGGAAACTTACCAGCTTTGATATACGAACAGTGCAAACGATTAAAAAAACCAGTGTTTAATATTTTATTTAGCTCTTCATTTAATTTGTCCTAACTTCATCAGACAGATGCTGATTTTGTTAACATGTGATGTAGCATGTACCAGCTGCTTATGGAGAATTATACAGGTGCAGACATTCACCCATGTGGGATTGGCATTTATACCATGAATGTATTGTTCTGTGTTACTTTGAACCATTAATTTAATTGGTTAGTCGTGCCTTTCTATATTAAGTAACTGTTGCTAATTGACTACCTTAATGTAGCTGTAATATTTTGAGCATAACTCTTCTCATTAGTGTGTCATTAACTAATCCAATAAAAGATTGAGTGGTAAAGACTGCACATTATTTTGGATAAAACAGCTGTGATATAAGTGCTTTCCCTAAGTAATACTTCCCAGTAAACAACCCCAGAAATTTTGTATTAGAACTGAAAAGGTATCTGGAAAAGCAAATGTTTTTAGCATCAAGTGTGAAATGGTAGGGAGGGGAAGGAAAGTAATTTCTTTATTTAAAAGCTGCAATCTTTTGAACACGAACCTAAAAAAGGTTTGCATTAAAAGCAAAAGGAGCCAAAGACAAGTAATTTAGTTTAGTTGTGCAGTATTTCCAGAAATCCCAAATATATTGCTCGAGACAGCACTTTGTTCATAGTTTTCATCCAGTTTGGAATTCATCTCATAATGTGAATGAAGTGTGAAAGCAGCTTTTAAATTCCCTGAGGTTTCAGAACCTCAGAGTACTTGCATATCCAATACTCTGTTATATTAAAAATAATAAATGGAGAAGCTTTTATAGAAATAACATATTCAGTATTTTGCCTTTGTTTAGTCTTAGGAGGAGAATAATTCTCATGGTGTTCATGAATTTTGAACTAGCTCATTCTGCTGCATTAAAAATTAGTAAAACTTTTTTCTTTTTCTTTTTTTACCAGGGCAGACAAATAGAATCAATAAAGATAGAAAAGCCTTCTGTTGGAGGTCTTGGATTTAGTGTGGTTGCCCTTAAAAACCATAGTTTGGGAGAAGTTGGTATCTTTGTCAAGGAAGTGCAGCCAGGAGGCATAGCTGACAGGTGAGACTTCTGCACTTTAAGATACAAGTTACAATAGTTCTGTGACGTACCATGACTTTCCTATTGAAGGCCTCATCAGACTAATATCTTTGGGTCATCAGGTGGGTATTTTGTAGGAGGTAGCTTGAGTTCTGTCTGTGCAACTAAAACGTGTGTTTTGGGGACCAGATTTTTGGATGAGTTTTGAATATCCCAGCCATTCATAAATGGAATTTCCAGGAATCGCTCAAGAGAATCTGGAGTACTGATTATAAAACAAGAAAACTCACAGAAGAATACAGGGAAAATAAAATTAGCCTATATTTGAATTATTATCCATCGTATCCCTGGAGGTTGTTTTTTCCCCTTGATTTTTTTTGTTTTTTATTTGTGTGTGTATGACAATGCTTTTATTTATAGTTGATTTTACTGTTTTTCCTGTGTAAATTTAGATCCAGTCCTCCTGACAGATCCCTGCACAGATGTCATCATAGAATCAAGGCTTCAGGCAATTTTCCCCCATATTGTCTGTGGGTTTTTGCCCAACAACAAAAGACAGAGCAATCCTTTAAAAATAAAATGTGATTGTAAAACCACAAGAGTTGGCATGAGACAAATACAGTGCTTGGAATTATGTTTAAAGAAAATGTGTCTAGATTTCAAGTCACTGGTGTCACTTTTTAAATAACACATGTCAGGAAGTGCCAACACGGGATGACAAAGAGAGTGGGGAGAGGTTGGAATGATAATGGCTATGGGCCCACAGAGAACACATCATAGAGCACTTAAAGAAAAGCATATTAGGCTCTTTCAAAGTGGAGACAGATGGACTGATCCGGATGTCAAAGGAGGGTGAATATCTCACGTTAGGATTTGATGACCTGCTGCTTGCTTTCTTTGATGAAGGAATCTAAAATATGGTTAGTGCCTGAAAAAAAAGAGATTTCAGGGRAAGTTCTTAAATATTGCATGAGAAAAATGAAGTTTAGAATGTGTTAGTTAAGATGTGCAGTTTTATTGTTCGGGGTTTTTATAAATTTCCCTAGCGTACTTCCAGTTTTTCTTCTGAGACAAGATCTCCTGGTGAATTTTTGGATTCCTACAGAGCTTTGAAGGAAGTGTCTGTCTAAGTAACAGTTTGGTCTCGTGCTCAGAATGAATATTTAACAAAGCAGATGAATGATCGTTTCTCTCTTGTCACAAACCTGTATTCATTGCTGGGGTGAATTAACAGAGATTTGTACTATTACAATGTACTATTTATACTGTAGTATAAGCTGAGCTCTCTGTTGCCCCAGGAAAGTTTGATGTGTGAAGTTTGATACTATAAATTCTGTTTGAATACAATATAAATGTATTTAGGCAAAGTAAGGATGCAAAACAGTGTCATAGCCTAAGTTTTGAGTACTTGGAGGTAATGTTGCATAGTGCAGACTGTGATGAAGAATAGTTTCCTGTTCCTTATATAACTGCCAAAAATGGAATTTTCTCCTACGTAACTCAACATAATCAAGGATGAATGGGAGAATCTTTTGAATAGAAGCAATGGAAGAAATCTAGCAAACTAGTATACCAGGCAGTGTTGCAACAGAATTGGCTTTGGTTGGTCTGTTTGGGACAGTGTGGACGATATGTAATTTTTCTGTTGCCAGAGACAACCTAATAAGCAGATTTTGCTTTATATAAATAGTGTAACCTTGCACGTCTGTGTATTTTGCATGGTCCTATTGAGACTACACTAGCCTGTAATGAAGCTACTGTGCAGCGCTTTAAAATTTCTTTCAATGTTTTGTTAAGGGATCAAAGACTAAGGGAAAATGACCACATACTGGCCATTAATTGCACCCCATTGGATCGGAGCGTTTCCCATCAGCACGCCGTTGCGCTCCTGCAGCAATCCACGGGATCCCTGCATCTGGTTGTTGCTAGGGAGCCAACTCAAGGAAACAGCAGAACTTCGGCCCTCTTACCCAGCGATGCAAATCCACCTGAGACTGTGAGTTGTTGCTGTCAAAGTCACACTGCTGTGAGGGACTCTTTAGGAGTTGTAGCTGTGTTAGCTGGCTTTGCTTTTTCTGGTTTTATTTTTTAATCGGGTTTTGTAAGCAGTGTCGTTTGAGACTTATCCTGGAATAGTTAGAATGCTTCCATTGCAAAGCTGCATGAAGGTGTTGTAAAGTAGRTGCTGGCTCTTTATGGGCTAGCAGAAGCTGTAGTAGATCAACATATTTTTAGCAGCAGGGTCTGCAATTTATGAGTATACCCAGCTGAAACCTTCTTGTGCKTAGCAATTAAAGATGTGGCTCTGATTACATCTTAAAGGAGGGTAAACACAGCCTATCTTGAGCACTGCTTGAAATATCCCAACCCATTAAAACTTGAATTGCTGAAAACAGATATCTTTTTTTCTTCCAAGCAAAGACAAAACTGTTATGGGAACCTCTGAGTTCTTATTTGTTTTTTTWACTGTAAATTTCACTGATTATGAAACCTTTAATTTTCTTGAACAGGGAGAGATTGTCACCTGGACTTGGAGGTCTCATAAGCCAGGGCTGAAATTGTATCTGTGTTCAAACTGTAGGTCCAGGTGGCTTCCCTGAATTTGTTTGAACTGCACACCTAAATCCAGGGCTTGCAATATTAGAATTTTAATTTATTGTGCAAGTAGGTTTCAATGAAAATCTGGTTAAGAGTACTGCTTTTCCTTATTCTCAGTAATTATTTCCCTCATGATTATTACAGAGCTAGTGAAATCTGAAGGTTTTAGTGGATAATCAATATTGTTTATTGCACTGAAAATTTTAAAGAATTAAACTTTAACTGCTTTTTCATTGAAAGATCTGCACTGAACAGACTAACAAAATAAAATACAAATATATATCTCTATGGGGGGTCTTTAAACTTCTTTTATGATATTTAACTGGCTTTGGCAAAGATTTTCGGTATGCTAATAAATCCTTTATTCACAGAAGACTTAAATCTGCCTACTTTGCTCCATTTTGGTTTCTATGAGATATTAATCTGACAGAAACATTGGCTGCATTTGGGTTGCTTAACAGCTTTGTTATTTTGGGGTTGTCTTGTAGAACACAAGGTCATGATAGAGTGTAGCTTGGAAACATGCTTCCAATTCAGCATGGCAAAACTTTATATTGTGCTGTTAATTCGGCATGTACTAGTGTTTAGAGTATGGAGGGTGTTTAGAGGATAAGTGAAAAAACAGAAATAAGAAGCTGGGCAACAGCAAATGAGAACTAGGCCAATGCAAGCTTCTTCCCTCTTTTTTTCCCCCTGTTTGCAGTTTTCCTGATTTATGAGAAGCTAAAAGGATAGTTTTCATATTGGCAAGAAAACCTTAAAATTGCTTTTTCTTAGTGCCCTGTTATGAAAGTGAAGGACAAAATGTATGTTTAAAAACAGATGAGAAATCCCACTGAGTTTTTATTAGGAAATGAGGCTCACTCTCCAAAATCCAGTATATCTCCAGTATGGGGGACAGAAGGAAGATTGTTTTGGTTAATTCTCATCATTACCACTACATGTGAAAGTGAGAAACAGTAAAAATCAGTTGGAATTAAAATCTCCTGTTCTTTTTATTAATTGCAGATTCATTGGGGCCACATCGAAGACGTTGAGCTGATTAACGACGGTTCGGGATTAGGCTTTGGAATTGTAGGAGGAAAGTCGAGTGGTGTGGTTGTACGAACAATTGTTCCTGGGGGATTGGCAGACCGGGTAATTTGTTATAATATAACAAATGTCACTTCTTGTTTGATTGTAAAGTGTAATTAACTGCTTTTGACAGTCTTAAAATAAACTAATATACTTGAACAAAAGGAAGCTGATAGCATCGAAATCTGAATGCCAACGTGTATGTTACAAATAAATATGTTAAAGGTATGATGGAGGAAAAAGTCAGTACCTGATGTGCATTAAGTTGTTTCCCAGGCGTGTTTTGGCTTTTCTGAAACTGTAAAACATCCAGAAATTTTGAAATGTTGTCCAAGTTGTTCTAATACTTCCAATACTTTCAACCTTTGGTCGACCTGGGAGGACAAATGATCCTAATGGATTTGCTTATTCTTGGTAAAACTTGATACATTTGGCAACATCTGTAAGGAAAAACTAGAGACAATCCTCAGGCAAGGGGATCTGTGCCATTGAAGAAATTGTGTTGCAAGATCCAGCTTAAAGTCCCATCTTGATACTGGTTTTGATTTTAAAGCCATTGGGGCCTGTGTCCTGCATTCTGAGCAGATCTTGGAGATGCTTGGGATTAGTGCAGAGTTTTTTGTAGTTAGTGGTATCTTTGGAAGTTGTTTGGGTGTAACTTGCAGCCTGGATTTGTTAATCCTCAAAGACTCYGTGCCACATCTTGGGAGTAGGGCACATGAGTAGCAAACAGGATTTGTATTTTTAATGTGAGTTTGGTCATAACATGTTGTGGCATTTGAACTCTGGAACCCTAGATATGCAAACAAGATCAGGTAACGTGCACAAAGAGGCAGCTGAGGATGCTTTTACAGTATGTGCCAGAAATGAAAACTGCAGATTGAGAGTGCTTTATTGAAAAGTAATAGCTCTCTGCCTCTCTCAGAACCTGCCACATAGAAATAAATACCTCTTAATTATTGTGTAACACCTGTGTTGCTGTAAGGAATAAAATGTTTTGGCCACAAATGACACATGTAAGTTAAGAACTCACATCATCCTCAGCTGAATGTGAGTTCACTAAAAACCTGAAAAATACATATATGTGCTAAAAGCTGGGTGAGTTTGTAGAAGAGTTTGCTGCTGCTTTAAGAAGAACAGCATTAAGTGCTGTGTAAGTCAGTGTTCATAAGATGGGGGAGCTGTGCTGATCACTGCTAGCCGAACAATTATTCCCATGAATACTTGCTTACAATAGTGATGAGTGAATCTTAATTATCGTATAAAAGATGGTTTGTGTGCAGTCTTGTCACCTTCAGTGGAATTACTCTCTGGAGCRGCAGCTAGTCATGTGCGGGGAAAAAAAATGGCGAGGATTATTGTATGAAASAACAGTACCTAACAGGCTATAAAATTATAAACATTGTAGTTTTTTACTGAGAAACATAACCACTTGACTAGCAATAGCACTATTCAACCTGTTTATTTTGATATTTTTTGTTTTAAAGTTTGATGTAGATTCAGATTCAAGTTTGTAATATGAAAGAGCTGATGCATTTATAGACTGGAAACTTATTTTTGCAATTTTATTTATGTTTGAAGGATGGGCGGCTGCGGACAGGAGATCACATCCTACAGATTGGTGGGACCAATGTTCAGGGAATGACGAGCGAACAAGTTGCCCAAGTGCTGAGAAACTGTGGGAACTCTGTTAGGATGGTAGTTGCAAGAGACCCGAAGGGTGAAATTGCAGAGACTCCACCAGCCCCTTTGAGCTGGCCGGTTACTGCRTTACCCTCCTTTCAAAATGGGAATGTAAGTATTTGATGTTTAGTTATGACATTTTAAAGCATGTTTGTGGCTTGTGATCAGAAAGGAGGAGGAAAATGGAGTGCTCATGAGACCTAAAGTGCTATTCCTCATTTGAGTTTCCAGTTTCATATATATGTTTTTAAGTGGTCATTATTTTAGCCCTACCTTCTATAATTTTTCCCTTTCTCCGGTGTGCTATAAATGGCTATAATCTTGGGGTCAGAATGACCAGCCTTACAGAATTTATTTCGAAGTGARTGATTTAATCACCAAGACCATAAAYGTTATCAATAAATGGCACTCTTAGTTGTCCTTCATAGCTCATTACGTTTTTGCTAATCAATCACTTGTAAATGGATTTAAAACTTGAATGTGAATTTCCCTAGCCTAAAATCTAGGGTTGTGGCCAGAGCAGAATTACTCAGCACAATCATCTTTTTTTATGAAACATAAGTGTAATGTTTTCATCGTCTACGCTACTGTCTGTGATAGGAAATATATCTAAAAATTTTGAAACTTGTTTTAGCAAATCTTATCATGGTCATATCAAAGTCTCTTGTTTTTGAAGTCATTCTTTTCAGTTTTGAGTAATTAAAATCAACAAATGCTACACTAAGTGTACAGTAGGTCTTGAAACATAAACAAAGCTGTGCTTGTGCACCATCTGCTACTACTGTGCTGCTTAGATTTAGGTGTAGAATCCGAGTAGCCTTTTCTTTCTTGTCTAATTTCTTGACTATAACTTAAAAGTGAAGAGTGCTTTTTTTAAAGCACTAGTTTTAAGKCTGAGATTAGCAGTTGAGTTGTGGCATATTTGGGCCCAGTCTCTGCAAAGGCAGCCGTTAGCTTTGGGAAGGAGGAAATCTCCGTGTCAGTTTGGAAGGCTACTGTAAGTGAAGCAGAGAGGTGGTGGGTCCTTCACAAGCTCCTCTCAGAAGAGGTTGCTTTATTTGAAGTCAAATCTTACCTAATACTCTGGAGGGGGAAAAAAAAGACATTTGTAGAAAATCAACATACAAATTTTTTTCCTTTTTTTCTTTTCCTGGATGGATCGAATTTCCTAAAGCCTGTATTTGGGAAAAACAACCTGATTCTAATTGCTGTCTCCTGTACAAACTATTATTTTTCTCTTTGCCTCAGAAAAATCTGATTTGTTTAGCAACTTGTTTCATTGATCAATCCTGAGCTGCAGATGGTGCAGTTTTCTAAAATGTTATTTCTGGGTGTCTTTTCAGTGCAATTTGGAAAAAAAATAATTCTTTGTATAACTGCATCTGTTTCTTTCTGAACATCATCTATTGCTTTCTAAATTCACGGACTATGCACATATACATTTGCAGAAATCCCTCTCTGGTGTGACAATAGATTTGCTGAAGTCAGGAGTGGTCGCTAATCTGAGTATATGTATTAGTTTATTTTTTTCTCTATTCAGTTTGTTTGATTCACAACAGAGCTTGCTCCAGTAGCCTTAATATTTTCCTGTGACTTCTTCTGTTACTAGTTGTAAGCTTTGGAGTAGTGAAGGTTTTCCTTTTTTCTTTTTTCTTGTTCCTCTTAGGGTTATTTTACAAATCACTGGAAATGTTTTCTTAATTTTTTAGTCAGTTTTCTCTCTGTATATGCCCAAGAAAACAGCCGTGCTATTTGTATTCTGCGAGATATTGCCTGCAATATTAGCAGCCTGCTTGTCCTGACAGCATCTAGGACTCTGTGCCGCGATCTTTCCAGCCTCCACTTACCATCTCTCTGCATCCTGCCAGTAACATCCCTCAGGGAGTATTTCTGCAGAGCTAGAGCAGTGGCGGCGAAGAACTGATGCCCGAATAGCAGGACCCTCGAGACCGCGGTTCCATTTCAGATGTCACTAAAGGCTCGGCTGCTGTCTTGATTCCCTCTCCTGAAGATAAGTGACAGAGCACAGAAACGGTCCTCGTCCCTCAATGCCTTTTGGAACACGGGAGGTGAAAACCACTTAGGCAGCTGACTCGTGGAGGGAGCTGGGGTGATATAGGAGGTAGCTCTGCTGGTTTCTCTTCCAGCTAAAGGTGAAATARGCAAAACCACAGTTTTACCCACTTTCAACATGGGTTCCTCTGACACTTGGCTGGCATTAACTTTTCTTTCGGACACTGTGTTCTCAGGAAACCTTTTCCTTTTTCCAATTCCGTGTTAATGGGGTTTCAGTGATACCAGCCCTCCTGACCTCATTATCTCCAAGAGCCCCTACTCTGATCATGTGCTTAGTTTTGATCACATTGGTATAAGCAGATAGAGTATTGAAAATCTACAAGAGCAACTTCTTATATTTTAATTTGTCCCTTGATATCCCCCTGTGTGGGGATATATGTGCTTGCTCATTTTTCTCTTCTGAATCAGCAGTGTCTTTGGGGTGGCCTCATCCTGAACTCATCGAGTACGTGTTCTGTCTTGTACTTCCAATTTTTACAGGTCAGACTAGAATAGTTTCACAGTGGGACATAGTGAAACCAGGTTTTGGAGGACTTATTCTGAACACTTCTCCGGACTGAGATCGCTTGCACGTTTCCTTTCCTGAAACCTAGTGGTTTTGAGTTTTGTTGTTGATGGAAATGAGGGTTCAGAAAGAGGTTGAATTATGTACTTATCTCAAGTGTTGTTTGTTATGAGCGGACTTCTTATCAGTTTAACAATACGTTGTTTAGAGTAGAATATTTTTCTGTCTGAAAATATAATTTTCATTGAATGCAAGCTGTAGTGTGCACCTTTAGCTTAATGTTGCCTTTACCTTCCAGTGCTCTTTTGCAGTTTGGTGGAGTTCAAATCAGAATAGGACTGTATCATACTTCTTAAACTTATGTCCATAAAATTAATCTTARGGTATAATTTCCAACTTGGTGTCTAGCATAAAGACAAAAAATACACTTATGCATCTACATGATTTCCTATATGCATTTAGATAGAGAGCTCTTTCCATAGCAGAGATATGCCTGTTATGTTTTTGTTACTACTTTCATTTGAGGAGATGAAACCTATTTCAATTATGGGATTATTTTCACGCTATTTCTTGGTCCCTTAGTCGATGCAGCCCTGGCAGGTAAATTCATGGCACTGCTTGTCAGGATGAAAAGCAATAAATAGATTCTCAGAGTATTCAGGATTTCTATTGCCTTTTGAGCTGGACCAGAAAAGTTTGTTGTTACCAAATGGCAGTGGAATCCAAGGGAGAATGACCCCTTGTCTAATGGAAACCTTTGTTTTCAATAAAATACACATTTTATGCCTCTGACAGGTATGTGGAAAAAGTAKTAGCAAAGAATTTGAAAAGCAAATAATGACTTTAGTCATATCTTACTTTCAGCAAATGTTAGGTATTTCTTTTCTGCAAATGTTATATTTCCTAGAGAAGGACAATCCAAATCACTGCTAATTTTTGCTAACAGCATTGAGAAATCAGACTTGATGCTCTTGTGCTTTATTTATAGGATAATAACGACCTTTTTGAGACCTATGATGTTGAACTTGTCAAAAAGAATGGGCAAAGCCTTGGGATAACAATTGTCGGATATGCTGGCATGTGCGATACAGGTGGGTTTTATGTGGTTCAGGAAATCTCAACACCCATTATTCACTAATATTTACATTATTCCTCAAAGCAGACTAACCTACAAAATCTGTGGAAAAAGGTGCTTGGAGAGCTTGCTGCAAAGTGAACTTCAGCCACAAAATTGTTTGAGTTTTAGCTCACTTAAGAATTGATTCTCATCAGACTGCTGGACTGCGATCATAGCTGTGCAAGTTTTTGAACTAACAATTTCTGCATGTGGGGAGTCCTGTGCAGTCAGATTCCTCTCTTGGCTGTTACTTATTTTGCCCAGAGCGCATATAACAATTTAGATGATACGTTTTAAGAAGAGGTTCGGAACGAAGTATCAAATGTCCCCAGAATACGTCGATTTTGAATGGCATCCTTCAGTACATACAAAATAGCTCACCGTGCACTTTCATTTATTTAATGAATTGTCAGTGTGAGGGTGGAAATGATCAATCAGATTAACCAGCCCAGCTCTCTGCCAGGCTGGTGACACGGAGGCTCTTTGCTGTGCGTGATGTGTGTGCCACCTTCGTGAGGTGATTTACTTCTTTGTGACAGATGGCTGATTCGGTGTCTGAATTCTGGGAACAGATTAAAATATCTGTGCTTAGATATGGGAACGTCAAATCAGGTTTTTTCCTACATACATTTTAAATTAGAACTATAAAATCATCTTTCAATTGTTAACTCCACGAAAGGTAATCTTTTTAATATTGACTCTCCTGAATATCTGATTTTGCATGAAGAGGAAGTGTTTTTCTTTCTCTCCTCCCCTATCTTGTGGGACTTGAGAAAATATTCTGGGAGTAGAGAAAGCAAGTGGCACCTGGCATTGCTTAAACTGCCCTCCTTCCCAGGACAGCCTTTAATGTCACCATTTGGAAACTTGCAGGTGAGGGTGGTGAGCACAGGTGGTGAACAACGGGGCCGGGAGCATGTGTGAGGTGGTGACAAAAAGCAGGGCTTGCGGTGTGGCTGGAGAGGCTCTGCTGAGCAGGAATCAGGCTGGACAGAGGGGTGTAGGCAGCTCTGAGGAAGGTTAGTGAGAAGAGGATGGATGATGTGTCAAGATTCACTCTGATTACAGATCAGCATGGCTTATTTATTGGGGGGTGGAAAGGCTTAATGTTGCAACTGATGGTTGTGTTCCTTTTTTTTAATTCCTTGGTTCTAATTTAAAATTAGAATTAATAACCAAATTTGACAAAGGACAGCTTCTCTGATTTCCATGCTTCTCCTTTTTCATTAAGTTTTCAAGTGCTAAAGCTGTAAGAGGATAGATTGAAGCCTTGATCAAAGTACTTAAGCACACGCTTTACTTCTAGCTTAGGTAGTCGTTATTGAAATCAAATGCAGCATGGCTTTGAGTGATTGTGGCCTAAAGCCTGTGTAAGCCCAAGGACGAATCCAGGGAGGAGGTGGCCTTGTGAGCCACATTAAGGAAAAATTATAGAGGTCAGTGCACGGGTGCTGGTATCAATGGTGTTCTCTCTATTAGAGGTTTTTGGTTGTTCTTAACAGTCAAGCTATGTAAGAGGTACATGCCAAATGTCAGCAATTTGCAGAGTCATGATTGTGGGTTAAAGTGTGGAGAAGACTGTAAATAAAAACTTATTTAAATTTAAAAAAAGTTAATTCTCTGCTTTTTTTCTCTTTCTTTCTCACTTCCTTCAACAGAACCTTCAGGGATTTTCGTGAAAAACATAATACCAGGTAGTGCTGCTGACCATAATGGCCAAATTCAAGTTCATGACAAAATTGTTGCTGTAAGTGAAATATTCTGCTCCTACATTGCTGTAAAACTAATGCTTCATTGCATATATCAGAATTTAAAAAAAAAAAGTGGAAAACCCTTTTTAAAACTAATGAAACCGTGTTATCTTTGCAACCTATTTGTTTAGGTAGATACTATAACAGATACGAGCTTTAACTTGKTGTAGTTAAAATATTACTTTATATTCAAAGGAGGAGTAAATAGTRGTTAGCTATAAAATAGGCAAGCATTTGGACTTTTTAAGAGCAGAGTGTCTTGGCTTGTGYCCTAAATTAAAGGGGAGCAATATCAGATCCTGTTGAAGTCGATAAAATTTGAGGATAGTTAAGATTTTGCAGGAAGTGCCTTGTTGTTTATGGTTCCTCATGAGTGTAGAGCATCGTGTGGATATGATCACAATATTAATAGCTGCAATTTATGCTTAAAAACTCAAGCTTTAAATGTATAAATTAAAAACCACTGAATAATATTTAATTGAGTAATGGCCAATTTTGCATTCACAGTACAAACAGTAATGAATTTAATGCTCTTTTCGTTTTACAAAATCTGCGTAAGAGAGATGATTTTAAATAACTTGGAAGATATGAGCTATGCCAGATCTCCCAAAGTCAGCATCTCTTTTATAAGAGCAAGATCTGATGCAGCCCCGTGCTTTATCTGTGGTTTTGCAGGAGAAGGCCCTACAGTGGCTGATCTAACAGTGAGGTGGATGGTGTATTTYTGCTGTAAATTAAAGCATCTGAATYCCGTCAGGAATTAGGCTGTCTAGAGTGGATTATACACAGTTATCTTCATAGGTTTTATGTGTGGGCATGTTATGAATATAGGAAAAATGGACAGTGATTATGAACTCAACAGACTTCCATTTTGACTACTTTTCCTGGGGATCTTCGTGAGCAGTGCTCTTCAAATTGCTCCTTTAAGAAAAACAAAATTAAAATAGAATAAAAATTGGYGGGGAAGGAATAGCTGATTCACACTTCCATTGGCTTAGTGAATTCCTGTGTTGTGGTTTCCTCATTAGCACAAAAACTACTGGGGTATTTTCTTCTAAAAATGCGTTTTGAGAAGGTGCTACAATTCACAAAATGATGTAATGAAAATCTTTTAAAAATAATACCATCCTAAGGTGAAAAGCTTCTGGAAGGAATATTGTTTACAGTGAAGGTGCAGTGTAAGAATGTGCTATAATGGCTCTGTTGTGACCATTTCTTCTCCTAGGTTGATGGAGTTAATATTCAGGATTATACCAACCAAGAAGTGGTGGAGGCCTTGCGTAACACAGGGCAGACCGTGCGCCTTACCTTGCTTAGAAGGAAACTTTCTTCTGCTACTCCTTCATCAGAAAGACCATTGGATAGAGGTAATCCTTTTATTTTTTTGGTAATGYGCTCAATTTACAGTGACCTAATTAAATAATTAGGACTAGATTCCATATCATCTTGGGTCTGTGCTGTGGAAGACCAGATGCTTAAGAGGAAATGGAAGGAAAGAAATGAGCTTGAAAACCTGTGTAGAAACCTCTTGTGCAGGAAACAAAGATATTGAGTGATTAAGGAGTAGTTGCTAATTTGTATCTTTTGCACTGTCTGTCTTGGGTTTTCTTTCCCTCTCCCCACCCCTTCCCCTTGTTTTCACAGTGCAGCCAACTGTTCCAGCCTCACTGGTCCTCGGAGCTGTAGGGATTGAAACTGGTGTGGAGAGTAAGAGTGAGGAACACCAAAAACAGAAGGATAGTCTTCAAAATAAAAAGAAACAAAGTTCACATAAAACAGGTGGATAGAGTATCTTGCAGCATCTCTTCCAAGTCTTAGATTTTTTTCTTCAATTAGTGCCTATTCTGATGGTCTGTCATGGCTTGCTTTGGTTTTAACTTTAGCTCTGTAACACCCTTTATTTGGGTTCTTCTGAAGTGWAGCTCTGTCTGTTAGAGATATAGGCTATTTCCACCCCCAAAATGGGTCCAGGCTTGATGAGGATGTGTTCTRTGGCATCATGGCATCAGGGAAACTACCCCTGTAAATGACCAGTATTAGTGTCTTTCCTTGACTTTTTCTTGTAACTGGCTGTCGAGCCACTGATTAATCCTCTTTGACACTAGTAATTTGTTTTAATTTTATTTTTTGATAGATCATAGTGTCGCAATCACATTTGCTAGCCCTTTCAGTACTCCATCAACCCCATGGAATGACTCCATGAATGACTCCCATCAACCCCATGGATCTGAATGCCTACAGCTTCCTTGAGTAGCCCATAACCTGTTGCTTCCTTATGATTGCCTGCCTTGTTTTCTTCCCAAGGCCTGCTGACATGCACAGAGCTTGGGGATTGAGTTTGGCCTGTGAAGACCAAAGCAAAAAAGACACCAAGCGCTTCTGCCTCATTTGTATTTTCTGTCACTAGGCTTTACCCTCCGCTCATCAACAGATCTACYCACCCTGCAAGCTTTGCTTTGCAATCAGCATACATCTAGATCTGAATGACACATGTCACTTGTTCACATGAAGGAACAGCAAGGGGTAGTTGCCAGCAGACTGCATGTGTCTTGGCAATCTCTTTGCAACGACATGAATATGGTTTTTGGGCAAGTAAGCAAATTTCTCTGGCCGGCAGACAGTACCACTTTTACACTGTTCATTGATCCTAGCCCTGGTCCTGCAGTCTTCTGTGACGGACAGAACCTGGTCATCCTTTCCTGTTGACAGAACCCTGAAGCAGGTTGTGAGGTGAATGACATCAGGAGACAGAGCCTTCCTCCTCCTGTCACAAGTCAGTCTTCCAACTTCCATCTTCTTTAAGAGCTCACATCTGCTTCACAATCCAGTTTTGCTCAGCAACAGCTTCTGTCTTGCTGTCATAGGCCTGGGCTTCACACTCTGTAGAGTCTTTTTGAGCATTCTGTTGATTTTAAGTTCATCGTYCATGATGCCTCATTTGTTGCAATTCCCTCACCTGGCAGCTTGATCAGAACCCACCTCTTGGTCCTTGGGCCTGGGCCCTGGGCTGCAGTGTCCCCCCTCAGGARCAGAGGGAACTTCTGCCTGAGCAGAGCCTGCTGAGGTGTTGGAGATAGCTGCARCAGCAGGCACAGGGGATCACATCTTATTAGGCCTTATTTCCATTTGTAGGTTTTGCCACACACATCTGTCTCATCTGCCTTCTCCAGTTTGCTTTTCCTGTTGATAGCGCTCTGGGTTGCTGGCCTTCCCCCAGTGCTAGATAGGTAGGAAGCCCAGCCAAGTTGCATGAGAATCCCATGAGATTCCCCACTTGGAGTGAAGCTCTTGTGGTGTCTGCTGGTTCCCAGAGCCAGCTCATGTATCCTGTGGTCCCAGTGCTTTGCATCCTGCTTGCTCCCTTCCGTGCCACTCTTAGAAACTAAGGTTGAATCTCTGGGCACACGGTGTTTGGCTTGATTGTTTTGAGCTTACTAGCCAAACCAGAAAGTTACTGACTTCATCCTTATGCAGGTAAATGAGAACCTCTAGCCTGGAAAAGGGAGAAGACCTGAGCCTGGAAACAGTAGCCAGAAAGAGAGAGGAGTTGAAACAGGCATGCAAGCTCTTTTAGGGCMATTGGACTTGGGGACAAATCACAAAGGAATGGGTGAGTTGGTTTGCTTTTTAGCTGACATCCAAATCAAGGTTGGAGGCCTTTCCAGAAGGCTTCAATTCCCCTACAGATTTCTGGGCTCTTCTACAGGAACTTCTGGGTGAAATTCTACAGCTTGTGTTAAAGTCAGCATAAATTATCCTTATGCTTTGTAATTTCAAAGCTCTGTATATGTAATAGGGGATTCTAAATTATGGCTGTCAATGAATAACAATTTTTCCTTGATTGTGGAAGATCTGTCAGTATTAAAGACAACCTGGAAATGAGAAATGTAGCAGTTCCTATATTTCATTATGTTTTACTTTTTGGTCCAAGACTTACAACCAGACATCCTGTGTTGTGACTCCTGCCTATTCCCAGAAATGGGAAGCCAGTATGGAGACGCTGAGTAGCTAAGATGCGAGGTTATCAAAGCATTGTTTCAACTGCATGAATGCAAAGGCATATATAAATTAGCACTTACACTGGAGGAGTRATTTAAAGGCTTAGCAGCAGTGTGTGTAGCTGGTAGGACTTAAAATCACAATCTAGAAGAGAGCTTAGTGTGCACAGTCCAGTGGTGTTTATCCAGCCCTCTTTTTTTTTCCTCTGAGTACTGTAGAATATTTTGTGTATTTAGAATTTACTCTTTCTACTGAGGTGAATGATCTCTTTATAGTCAGTTCTTGATTGGGCTATCTTGTGTCACAGACTGTAGGTGTTTGCCATGATGCAAAGAAAACTTTCTCAGGAAGTTGTTACCCACCACCTAGTGCTCTGCAAATAAGTCATATCAGTGTCAGGGTCAGCTAAGTCTGAGGAGTAAAGTCACTTCATCTGTCTTGACGCTAATGATCTCTGCTGGCTTCCAGGGGTGCTGCCTAGAGAGGCCTTTGTGATCACTGTTTTGCAAAGAGTCAACCTGGACCTAACTTTGTTTATGAGCCCTTTCCACAGCAGATCCAGCCTGTCTTGGTATCGATCCACTGCCTCTCCATCTACCCTCCAAAACCCCCGGCTCAAGAAGAGCTGTTAGGYTGTGGCCACGTCACAAGTATGAGAGACTCCCCCTTAGTTTCCGCGTTGGGCCACTCTCATACTGTTCCTTGGAGCTCTGCACATGGATCTGGGTCTGGCATGGATTTTATTGCCTGCAATTACCAGCTCCTAGTCAGACCCATCCTGCTTTCCTGCAGAGGCTCTGTGGAAATGCCCATGCTGCATTTCCCAGTGCATCCCAGTGCAGCAAGTGTATAATGTTATCCAGGCTTCCCCTCCTCTGATGCAATGTTTTGTGTGGACGGTATATCTTGGGATACCCAAATTTAAACACTGCAGATGCTCTTGGTTTACGTTTGACTACTTCCCTTGATATTATTTAGTATTGCTGTTTTTTACTGGACCTTTACAGAATCATGAAATGTGCATGACTTTTAAAGAGAGTAAAGCAACAGTGACGTTTAGTGCACTGGTAAACAGATATCACTGCTTGATGAAACTACTGCTTTGTAGTGAAAGAAAGAGTTGAAGCTACAAGGTTCTGCAAAAGGCTTTTACTATTGTAAAATATGTGTGTGCACCTCTGCACGAGGTGCAAGATGAAATATGTATTTGCAAATTTTGTTAATAATGAAATATGGTATGTATGATTTTGTCTTGGAATAGAATTTAATGGCTAAGTTTAAATTCCAAAGATAGGTGCTTGTTTTGGACATGGTGATGGGCACTTAATTATGTTGTTAAAGTAAATACTGCTAATTTGAAGTTCTGACTAAACTCTGGAAATGCTTTTGAAAGCTTAATGTAAAAGGTATGTTTTATAAAATATGTATTGCTTCCCTTTAGGCCTGGTTATGTGAAATTCTTATTCAAATTGTGTTTCCTGGAAAGGTATTAAATAGTAATTCTGCCCAGGCAAAACCGTACTTAAACATTCTATTACAAAGGCAACGTGGTTCAGGATGCAATGTATATGAGGCCTTAAACTTTCTGCTAGCAGGCTAGAGGCAATTAAGTTAACAGCTGCATCTGCAAGACTGCAGAGTGGGCAAAAAAGCTTGTTTTCACCTTATGGCAGTATGCAAAACCCAAAGATATGGCAGTGCTAGCCAGGAACTTTTAGAAGGTTGGAGAATAACTTAAGGTTGGAGAATAACATCCAGCTGTAGAGATGATAAAGGGAGTGTATTAATGATGTGTAGTAGAGCACAGTACATCCTMATACAGAGAGTTTGTGCAATCAGGAGAGGATTGCAAGGGGAAAAAAGATTCTTATTTTGAAGATGCCAGCAATTTTGACCAGGAAAGACTGTATTTACAATCAAATACACGACATTTGTGATTTTTTTTTCTTGGTAGCTACTAAGAAAGCTGCATAGAATAGAAGTGCAGGCAGAGAGGCAGAGCTCTAAATGTACTGCAGATTGCTGCCAGTGAAAGCTGATCCTGGGACATTTCCCTTTCTGAGGCCTCACACATTGCAGAAAATGTAGTATGTATTTTAGGCCATGAGAAATCARTCCAGATGAAACACTAAAAAGAAGTAAATTCCTATTTGCCATGTAGAAAAATCTGTCTGAAAAGTATTAAAAGAAAGGAACAATGAAGTGAATTGGGTGCTACCCCTGGAATTAAGTATCTAATCATCTAATTCAACTCACTTTCTCCAATATTTTCACAGTTTTGAGGAAGTTGCAAGCAACGGCCTCAAGGTCTGTTTGCTATAAAGAAAGAGAGAACCTTTGAATGGAGATGTGCATCAGCACCTGGTCTGAATAAGCATAGATTTTGGTAGTGCTTTTTGGAAGCGACAAGGAAAACTGTATTCAGGCAATTGAAAACAACTTAGAGTTACTGAACTTTGAGCTTGATCCTAAGATTTATTCCTTTCTGTGAGCCTTAACATCCATATGTGACTGCACAGGGGACTACAGGGGCTTAGGTCCTGTGAGTTCAGGCTATAACTTTGTAATAGCAGAATAAGAAACTGTGAAGTATTTGTGTCCCTGCATATTTCTGCAAATGGGGAGAATAGAAAGATGCCCTCGTTTTGTTTTTGCCACAGTTGAGAAATAAATATAGTGAACAGCGTGTGCTTGATAAGGCTCGTGAAGAATGTTTCTCAGAAATGTGAATTAAACCTATATGGAGGAAAAAATCATAAGATGAAGCTTATAAATTTTAGGAGAATTCGAGTAAGGTTATTTTTGTTCTGAGAGAGAGGTTTTTTTGATATCAAAAGGAGTTACCTGTGCTGCAGGACTCCTTCAATATTTATAACTCTGTGAGCCTATAGATAAAAAGAAACCCCAGGTAGTTCCAGTTGAACTCAGTGCAGTTCAATAGCATTTGACTCCTCAGCTTAATAGATGATATTTGGAAAAGATGCCATGGTTGATTATGTTGTTGTATAACGTGATTTAAGCCTTTATTTTGAAGGAGCTGAAAACTTCAACGTTACGAAATGATGTAATAAGGAGTCTTTTGCAAAGCTCGTAAATGGGTTTTATCTTGCAGCCTGCAGAAGAGCTGAAAGCYGGGGAAGTTGGGCATCCTGGTTGCGTTGCCTTTTGCTAGCAGGAAGGTCTGGGCTTCTCTTGGTATCTTAAAACCCTCCCCAGAGATATTTTGCTTGCTAGTTTGTGTGCAGCTTGGGAGATTGTAATTTACATTCTGAATTTTAGTGTGACGCATCAGCAATACCAAGTGGTCTGTGCCTTGTCTAGACATCTGACAAACTATTACAGTCATTCAGGGGAAAAGCAGTTTTCAGTAATTCCGTCTCCGGTTGCTGCTGCTGTAGCTGCTCGATGGAATTTGCTTTAGAGTTTGATTCTTACCAGTTAAACATTTCTTCAGCATGGAACTTTATATGTGTGCTGAGCTTCTGGATGAGGTCAAATGCAGGGCAGCCAGTCATTTTATGCTGTCTAGCTCTGTCAAATTGTCTTACATGAGTGTAATACTGCCTTGGTTGCATAAGTAAGAATGCTGAAAAGATATAAATGTCAAGATAGCCAAGTTCCCACGGAAGACTGGTTTAGAACTGGAGCTTATATTAAAGCTCATGTTACTTACTGGCCTAATTAAACTAGACAAGGCTTTGTACCTGCCAAATGTATAACTGAAGTCTGTGGCTGCATTTGTGCTGATGCAGCCCCCTGATAACAGTGGTATCTTGTCAGGTGTTTGCTCCTTAAGGGGGCTCATTCTGGGGGGAGATGATGCTTCCCTGGCGGGGCAGGCAACAAATGCAGCAACAAATTCTGAAGCTGCTTGAAATTTGTTCTGCAGGCTGAAAGAGTGATTTATTTACAGAACACGCGGTACCAAATTCACATCTTGTCAGTGCAAGCATCACCTCTTCTGCTGCTTAGTCGAATAAATTGCACTATAGCAGTAGCTGACACGGGGCATTGTTTTCCTGAAAGTCATTTTGTGATTTGCACTGTTTGATAGACTCAACTTAATGCGATTTCCTTTWTGTGACTGTTGTAATCTTTTATTTACACTGAATTCTTATTGAACTCTTTAGAAGTAGATGGGTTTCTGAATGTACAATATGCTTTTTCCTTTCATACTTAGGAGGAGTCCCATTCTCTGCAGCATGTGAGCAGAAATCCAAGTGGGAAAGCCTACTGGGACCTGATTATGAAGTTATGGTATGTTATCCTTCATTAAAGTACACTGATGTGGGTTATTTCTTTAAATTACAGATCTGTGAGCTTAGCATTACAAGCTGTTTAGTATTTGGAACAAATCAATAACATCACATTTTGTTTCCCTTAACTTCAAGGCGGAAATGCAGGATTCAAAAAAAGTATTATTCTGTTTGTGTAGAAGTTATTGTTTAGACAGGACCGGTGAATTAGGAAAATCAACCTTCCCTTTATTTATCATAGCATCCACTTAAAATAGTTGGCATTTTTATGATTTTGTTTATAATTTTTTTATTGGGCACTGATGGGGGGGAAAAGCTCAGGATATTACTCCTATGTTTCACAAAGAATATTACAATTTTATTCAAAGAGTGAAAGAATGATTTTCAAATGTATTGGAAGAGAAGGAGGTAATTCAAGGGAGCATAACTTTGTGGTGCTGGTGCCTATAAGCTGCTTGTTCATCTCTTACGAATGATTATCAGGCAAMAGATTTATTTACCTTTTGCAGATATGAATCGTCATAAGGAGYTGACTGAAATTTTAATTCACCACTGCTTAGCAATGCTATGTTAGCCACTGAGCATAGATAAAAGACTCCAGCTGACATTCTTTCCAAAGTCTTAACAAAATCTTACTGCCACCAGGAACGTATCTTGTTTGTCTTTGCAGTGCTTGTCCACATGATTTAGAGACACTTATTTTTACTACTTAGACTAGCTATCATTCCATTCTCTTGCTGGAAGATTTAAAGTGTCTTTAAGAACTGTCTTGAGAAACTGGCTCCTCTTCTTTCCATTAGCACTCCTTTAAGATCTGAAGTTCATATAAGATTATGTACATGATTCAATAAATCTGCTTTGCTACCCACTTTAGTTGCCTGGTATTCCCATTCTTACATTTCCAGAGTCTGATATTACTTCCCTTAGCATTATCACACTTCCCAGAGAGGATGAAAACCTGCTTAGTTTGTGGAACTGTGCATTTTTAATTCTTCAGCTGCAGCCAGTAAAATGGCACAAGTGAAAATATTAATAATTAGTCCTTTTAAATAAGAAAAACTGCTATGGCAGCCACTTTAAAAGCAGTCTTCAGTTCTTCCAGTTTCTCTTTTTTTGTATGTACCTGTAGACCTGCCTGGCCATGGCCAGTGGTAGCAGTTTGATTTCAGCCTGGTAGCTCAGTCTGACACTACCTTCATTTCCTGTGTTTGGCTCCGCTGAAACTGGCAGAGCACCCAAAGGAGACAAATTTGATATTTTCTGTGAGTACTTCTCTTAGAGGAAATAACTACTGAAGAAAGGATTTAACATCACTTATGGCTCCTGTTTTTCTGGTTCTTTGTGGTACCAGCTTTAAGGAACATAACTAAGATCCTGTTCTGAGAGAGGAAACCTTAGAACAGTGACTGTGTAGGATTATTTGCTGCACGGTACCTAATTGTGAACGGACATCTGAGGAGTCAGGTTCTTTTAGTTACCATTGAGTGCGTATGAAATGGATTCTGTCTGTTGGGAGAAGTACCTTAAGTACTGGCAAGTTAGACTCTGGATACTGTAATAAAAGTTCGGCTGGAAGAAAAAGCTGGCATTTTGTGTTGTTTTGTAGATACTTTCTTTAAGCTTGAAATATCCAAAGGAGCCTGAAGGAGTTATCTAATTTTACAAGACTATATTTTTTTGCATGTAGCAGGTCTAGCAGTCATTCCAAACATGCTCAGTTTCAGTATCCCAGGCCCCTACCCTAGGCCACATGGCCATAGATTTAATCTTGCTACATTTGGAAGTCGAGTAAATAACCTTTCTAAGGTTACAGATTGTCCTGTTAAAGGACAGTGCAAGAAAATTGGTGATAAAGGTTATAGTCATTATATTCAAAAAAAGTGACCAGAAATCCCTTCAGCACATCTTGAAAAGAAAGAAAACTTACATATGTTATTGTGCATTCAAATTTAAACTCCTTAAGTCATGCATTTCAAGCCATGTTGGAAACAGATTGCAGAAGATAATGGTTAGTCTAGATATTAGATAGTTGTAGTACCTGAAGTAAGAATTTGAACTGTAGTACTTTACTGATTGGCGAACTGGTTTGGGTATTTGTGTCAAACATAATTGCATTTTGTGTTTGTACAAGACTTGACCCTTCATGTTAAAACTGGTGCTTGGGCTTCAGCAAAAGAGTAACTTTGCAGTTTGCTAGTTGTGTGTAATTGCAACATTCCTCAATGTGTCAGAAAGATTTTTTTCTAACATTTGTTTAAGATTATTTTCCATCAATATAACTGCTTAAATGCAGTTTGTTTTATTCATCTCTTTTTGGCCAGACTTCATCATTCTAGTAAAGTCTTTGTTGTGCTACTATATAAAAATGTTATGCTGTATGATTTTTAGGTTGTGAATGTGGATATGCCCATTACAGATGATTCAGAGCTCCAGAAGTACTCCAAGGTATGGCTTGTGAAAGGAATGACTTGTGTGAAGTACCTAGAGGTAACTTTGTGGACAGTAGCAAGCTGGGTGGAGTGGCCAACACTGCAGAAGGCTGTGCTCCCATTCAGAGGGACCTGGACAGGCTGGAGAGTTGTGCAGAGAGGAACCTCATGAGGTTCAACAAGGACAAGTGCTGGGTCTTGCACCCGGGGAGGAATAACCCCAGGCACCAGGATAGATTAGGGGTCAACCTACTGGAAAGCAGCTCCACGAAGAGGGACCTGGGAGTTCTGGTTGACAAATTAACCATGAGCCAGCAGTGCCTTTGTGGCCAAGAAGGCCAATGGGCTCCTGGCTGCATCAGGAGGTTGCCAGCAGGTCAAGGGAGGGGATCCTGCCTCTCTGCTCAGCTCTGGGGAAGCCGTCCCTGGAGTATTGGTGGCAGTTCTGGGCTCCCCAGGACAAGAGGGATGTGGAGTCTCTAGACGAGGGTCCATCAAAAAGCAACAAAGAGGATTAAGGGATGGGAGCATCTGAGATAAAACTGAGCAAGTTGGGCCTGTTTAGCCTAGAGAAGACTGAGAGGTGATCTGATCAATATGTGCAAGTACTTGAGGGGAGAATATAGGGAGGAAGGGACCAAGCTCTTCTCAGTGGTGGCCGGTGACAGGACAAGGGGCAATGGGTGCCAGTTGAAACCCAGGCAGTTCCATCTGCACCTGGAAAACTAATCTCTGCACCTTAGTTGAAGCTTATGGAAAGGTATAAAGGGGATACACACATGTAACATGTAAGCCTCAGATTCTTGAGGACTTCATGACATTATAATTCAGTTACAGAATGAGGCCACTAAAGAGTGGAGCAGAGTTGCTAAATTTGAGAAATTCTTCTAGAGTGGCACTAGAAGCTGGTCAGCAGTACTGCTGGGGCATCCCGTGTGGTCACATTGGCCAGAGCTGAAATTACTTTTGATCTTCTAAGTCTTTCAACTTGCTAATCAACTTGCTAATGCACATCTTGCTTTCAAGATGTGCATTAGTATCCTGCAATACTCTTTTTTGGAGGTGACTCAGATTAAAATACCTATGGGGATATCTCAGTGAAGAAAGGCAATAAAGTCCTCATTGGGCATCATTGAGATGGGATGCCGAGGATCAGTGGTTGACTCTGGACAGAAAGACTGTCAGTCACAAAAAGCCAGAAAATTGCCAGACTGAAAGAGCAGATACAGTTGATTGCCTGCTTCCTCTGTCCCCATATTGCTGTCATTCTCCTGTCTTCTCTGGATAATGTCTCAGTCTCATCCCGTTTTTCCTAATATTAACAGAAATACGTTGTTGGCTGGAGGTTTTCTACAGGGAAAAAAAAGTCTTTCAGCTTTGTTGAAAACACCTTTTGGGTAGGATAGACTTTAGAGGGTGCTCCTCTTCCCTGTTTTTTTCCAATACAATAGTGTTATTTAGGAGCATGGTGCAAAATGCCTTTTCCCCAAAGGAGAGAATGTTTCTAATATGCAATCTGTTTGTGTGGAGAAATCCTGGAGACTTGTCCTGTAATACATTTGATGGCAATGTAAAGACTTAATCATTTCACTATATGTTTAGTTTGACTGGTGAGCTATTGAATTCCTAATGAAGTGTGTGTGTTTTATATACGTCCTTATATTATATATGTGTGTGTGTGTATATATTATATATAAAAAGCTTCCTTGCTATGCTTATCTTTTGGCAGCTATTACCAATCCACACCTTGAGATTAGGAGTTGAGCTTGACACTTTCAATGGACATCATTACATATCATCCATTGCTTCAGATGGYCCAGCTGCAGCACTTGGCCTTCTGCGACTGGAGGATGAACTGCTGGAGGTAGAAGCTCCCAAAATGAGAACTGTGTTTCTTGTTTGCATCCCCTTAAAAAAATGCTGTGTTGAATTTTAGCTTGGCTGCAATAGTGATGTTAGAGTTGTTGGTGGAAGTGGTTGAGGCAGTCCTTTGAAATTTAGAGTTCTCTCCTACCACTCTTTCATTCCTCCTTTATGAACAAAATGGTGGGTTCTTGCGACCTCAACTGACTTTCATGTTGGTTTGTGAAATATTGAACATGAACATCAAGAGTCAGGAGGGCAGAGATGATATTTGCGTTAAAAGTATTTGTGCCTGTGGTCCTTCGGTGTTCAGAGCAATTTAGCATTAGCTTTGGCGCTTTATGCGGTGGGTAATCTTCCTTAATATTTGTCACTGCTGAAAAATTTACAACAGTCTCTGAATAATGGTTCCTGTTAAGCATTACAACTTGCTTGTTGAGCATTGAAAGACAATTTGTGTGTATGAGCTAGTACATCAGTTTGTTTAAATATGTATAAAGAGGTATCGTGGCAGCTTTGAAGTAATCAGGATCGGACCAGACCTGATTGCTCAGGAAGGATATGCATTTAATAATGTTAAAATAATATCTAAGTTGTGTGCATATACATATATACACACACATATAAATATAAAACTCCAAGAAAAAAAAGTCACTTTCTGTTGAACTCCTACTCTTGGTGGAATATTTTAAATATGAATCTTTTTCTACTGTATGCAAAGAACTYATTTAACTGACATCATTGGAAACAGAATCAGGCCTTCTGAAAGATTAATTTATCTTAGCGTTACGGCTCTCTTGCTTTTACTTGTTGTTTACCCTTTAGCATCAAAAATTCATACTCCTATCACTAAGACCTAAAACATTTTCTTCAGTTATTGCTTAATGGAGGAAATCTTGATTCCTAAAGGAAGGGATTAATGGAATGCTGAAAGTGTTGTTTAAATTCTTTGGCTACTAAACAAAAGCTTATATACGAAAAGCAATAAAGCAGTGCTACAGAGTAGTGTAGGAAAACTTAATTGTGTRTTTTTAAGTTTCACTCATTATTTTGCAAGTTCACAGATTTGTCCAAAGCTAGTAAGCATAAACTTTTTTCTACTTTGTAGCTCAAAAAAGAGCAACAAAATAAAAATGTGCTCTGGGCTAAAGCTGTATATGCCAGGTTTGAGCCCAGAGTGTGTTTTTGCAGCCAAGTTATAAATCCCCTTAAGTAGGGGTTTGCAGTGGAAAAAGTGACAGCTCCATTCCTAAAAGAGGCGGCTCTACCTGGTCCCGATGCAGTTGGGATTAAAATGTGATCACTAATGACTTTTGTTCATTTGTTTTAATATACAGTGAGCCTGATTATTGATTAGTTTTGGTAATGTGCTTGCATTATGACAGAAGGTGTGGCATTTTCACTCTTTCTAATTTTAGTTGTTATTACTACGACTTCTTAAAATTGCTTCCTTGTGTCCTTGTCGGTTTTGTTATAAAACTGCTAATGGAGCAACTAACGAGCGTGGGGCGGTAGCTGAGGGGGCGTTTGGCACCCTGGCCGTCGGAGGCTGGGAGAGGAGGAGAGCGGGAGTCCCCGGCGCCTGGGAGGGCCCCGGCGTTCGGYTCCATCCATCACCGCCCGCCTGCAAAGCTGGTAACTTTCCACAGTGCTGCCACTCTCGATGCATTAAAAAATCCTTACGCGTAGATACTTCTCCTTAAATAATTAACTAATGGATTAGCCTGATAGCTCAGCAGTTGCTGTAATTCTTGCAGGGGGAAAAAAACCCCTAGCAGTTCACTGAGCCGCTTGGAAGGTGATAGCGCTGAGTGTTTCTCCTCAGGTGGGCTGTAGAATGACAGAGACTGGAGGATATATTTATGCTATAGGGAGCACAAAGAAAAGACCAAAAAAAGGTGGTCTGAAAGGAGATATTTGATGTGAAGTGAGATTGTTGAGCAGTCTGAGCAGCATAGGGAGGTGAAGTGCATAGGTAAGGCTGCCTTTAGTAGTTCTGCACACAGAAGTAGCCGCTATATTTTCTAGGATGAAATGTACATCAGCATTTTAGTTTGGACTCAGAAGTTTTGAAGATGATCTCYAGTTATTCCCATTTACTGTGCTCTGGTTCATGTTGGGGAGCAGTTGGAGAGTCTGAGTTAGATCCTAAACCAGTGGTTGCCCCCCAGCCCCCGTGGACRCGAGTGGCATAGGAATTGAGTCCTCTGCACCAACTGGGTTAAATCTCTGCTCTTTTGGGGCCATGCTACTCATCAACACTGGTGACGTTCACACCTATGGCACCTACAGAAATTCTGCTTTCTGTGTATTGAAAGATACTGTTATGGTGCAAGCAGGTGTAATCTCAAGATATTGCAAATCATAATAAATAAATCATTGTAGTTCTAATTTTCCTTAAGTGCAAGTCCAATATCCCRTTTTTAAAATAACGTTACTATTGTTTATTTTAAAAAGGTCTGTAGTTTATAAAATCCATTAACAATTGCTTTTCAGTCTTCTCTTGTCACTCAGTAGTTAAAGCTTGTGGGATTGTAAGCCTTCTCTTGTCAGGGTTTTCTGATGAATTGCTTACTGTAATTGGTTTGGTTTTTATTATATAAACATTCTTGCTTGTTTTCTGTAGAATCTTTTTTGGTTTCAACCATTTTGTTATATTTTAAACCTCTGACAGAGTTATGCTAAGTTTTATTTCATGTTTTTGATTAGGACTTAAAATCTGTATTTTCTTAAGCAATTTGGTATTTTTTTCATGGAAACACTTAAGCCTAATGCTAAAAATCCAAGGCAAARAGGCGTATGAGTGAAATAATGCTAGGAAAGATTTTGACTAGGAAAAGTAATAAGCTGAAAACAAAGGCACACTGAAGAGAATAGAAACATGACGGAGTCACAAACCCTTGCAGGGGAAGGTCAAGTCCTGTGCTAATGCATGCTCACTCCTGCCTCAATATGTTAATGACACCATGCAAGCTTTGCTGAAACCCCTGGGTAGAACTAGACTTTCCCATACTGTGTGGGACAGACAGGTGTTTCTCATATGGACCAAGTAAGCAAAAGGGATGATTGGCAAATCTAGCTGATACCCTTTTAAATATCTTAGTCTGCTTGGGTGTTTTCTCCTCTGTGTAGGTAAATGGAGTTGAGCTGCGTGGGAAATCGCGGCGCGAGGCGGTCACTTTCCTAAAGGAAGTGCCACCTCCCTTCACCCTCGTTTGCTGCCGGCGCCTTTTTGATGACGGCAACGAGTCTCTTGTTGATGAGCCAAGTRCAAGGGTTTTGCCTCCCGAACAAAAGGTAGGTTCTTCATCAAGTCCCTTGGCAAGAATGACGGCAACCTTTTGAGAAAAACAAATATTTCCAATGTAGTGAAGATATTATTCTGTTTTCCTTTTGTTGTTTGATCAGACCACTTTTCAGTGRTCTGAAAACAACTCTTCCTAAAATACGTTTATGGAGTTTTGTGAGGTGGTTCTATATTCAGTTGTCAGATAAAGCTGCCTTTGTCGTTTGCTGTGGGCTCCTAAGGGACTGCTGGTGTTTTCAGTGAAAGGTACTTCATGTTTGCAACAGTGCAACTTTTGCTGCAGTTTTTACAGGTTAGAAACTTCATTAGAAACTTCTCGGTGCTATAAATACAAGGTAGGTAAATCACTGAGCTAGCATGCTGACTATGTACATCCTATTCATCATTCTTATACTTAATAGGTGAGTGAGAGCTTTGAATTATGCTAAATCACATCTTTGCCACCATTAGCTGATTGCTTCCATGTTCTGAATGAAGTTTTTCTGCAGAACTGGAAAAATATGAAACTTTATGTTCCTTTCTATTGTGGAAACTGTAAAGTTCCCAGCTAAATCTTGTCACGTGTGATGGTTGTTCCTGTTTATAAAACATGTTTATGCCTTGGTTTCTTTTCTGATTCAGCAACCTCTAAAGTGAGTTCTAGGAGGACAGTTGGAGAAGAAATACTATGTTTTGTGGAAGAGTAGAGTTATGTTTGTTTTTGTAAAAAGCTTTCTATTGCAATAGAGCTTGTTCTGCATTTCTTGGTATTGTCTTTAACTGAACATTTTCCATGTGCATCCTTGTGTGTGGCAGATACTTGGCATAAGGTGATCCTGGTTGAACAGATGAAGGTCTCCTCCTCATTAGAGCTATCTCATGATATTTCTGCTTGCTTTTGACAAGAGCAACAAGAAAAAGCATGTGGGGGGAAAAAACATTCTTTTGCCCCATAAAGTGGCCTGCACAGGAGGCAGATTTGTCCAAAGAACTAGAGTTTAATTGGTATGAAGTKAATAGTACAAGATTTTATAGCTTTTATTGTCACATCTTTCATTCGCGTTTTACAAAGACTAAAGCTAAAATGAAAGATACCTTTTTTGGAAGATGTGTTTATGAAGCTGGTCTCACCTAGGGGATTTGGGTAACTATACCTTTTAACACAATTTTTATGCTAAAGCATAAATGTAAGAAAATGCTTTTTCACACTGGATGTTAATGGTATAGCTACAATACAGACTCTTCTACATATCTAAGTCCACAAGTATCGGATGATATCTCTAATGTTGGGGCTTTGAATTAGCTGTGACTGGTTAAATCTTTTATGCTAAGAAATGTATTTTTCCTTTATGCATCTAATGGGACAGCTGAAATTCATCACCAAGTAACAGGTTAGTAATACTGTGACACTTTAYTGCTATATGCATATTTGTATGCCAGGTTTGGCCCTGACACTCGGAATAGGTAGGTATAGTCCCCAAAGAATATCCAAGCAGCAGGCCAGAAAAGGTACCACTGTCTACAAATGGACTCACAATGTTCAAACAAGTTGTAATTCCATATAAGGTCATATTTTGGCGCATGTAGAAACTRTTGGCAATCAAAATATTCAATGAATAATGCTTGTAAAGAACTGAAAGCACTGTATTTGACCTAGAACTTTTTTTTCAGGTGAAGCCTGAGGAAGGCATTAATCCTGAGGAGGAGGAAGGGGAATTAGCCTTATGGTCTCCTGATGTGAAGGTTATTGAACTGGAGAAAGACAAAAATGGTTTGGGATTCAGCATTTTAGATTATCAGGTATACTTTTGTATATCACTAAATATGAAAAAATCCCTCTGTTCCTTTATTCTGCGTTGTCCTTCAAGGTATATCGTTAATTTGTTGACTACTGGGTAATCAGCTAGGCTTTTGGGCCTGGTAACTCTGTAGGGAAAAGTAATTTATTTTGAATCCAGCTCTATAATATATGGCATAGAGCTGTTCTATCTATGTATTATATTATATATACACACGTATATAATGTATAGTATAGAGCTTATTTTAACCTAGTCTCATTATTGAATGTGATAGTGGGGAAAAAGTGAAAAATTCTAACTCTTAATTCTGAGTTGAAAGCTAAATGACAGAGGGATGGTTTCTGTTTCACTTTAAGTTGGAATAACTTTTCAACAACGAGAGCAGCAAGAGTATTTTCTTAGAYTTTGTGGTATAGTTTGCTATTTATAAAAATTTAGTAAGCCTTCTCTGCCCCAAATCACCTTTCATTTATGAATACAATATGGACCCATGCAGTCTGTGAACTGTGGTCCCATTCATGTCATGGAAAGACTGTCTTCAGCAGGGTTTGGATCAAGCCTTAAAATCAAAACTATTTTCCAGAATAGAAGTTGCAGAAATAGAGTTTTAATGTGACTTCACATGTGGAACGTCAGGGCAGCCTGGTGAACTRGTATTGCACACTTGGTTTCTGTACATACAAATTTGCTTTAAAAAGTTGTTTTCCTTTCATAGCGTAAGAATAGAGACTAAAGAGTCTAAGTAATGATTCCTTCCATCATACTTGTCTTAAAACTATTAAACTGATATTTAAGATATTGCATATTCTATCCATATTAAAAAAATATTAAAAGGAGTTGACTTTCAGAAGTCATTCATAGYTTAAGACAATCTCTGAGAAGAAAGCCTCTATTTTTTAATGTGAAATCATTTGGGCATAAGTTATAGCCTTAACCAGTTAAGCTCCTTGGAAATCAAGGAAGAAAACTCCTGTCAGTGTAGTGGGGGGGGGGGAATTCTACTGAAAATAACAAATCTTTTTGCAAAATATTGGCCCCAATTAAGTGTATATGGAAAACCTCAAGTCAGAATTAAATGTTCTTAATGCTTCTAGTCAATGCATTTTTTTAAAAAAAAACCTCTAGCAATCATTTATAAGGAAATAAAATAGCAGGATTAGTCTTCATRATAATATACACAGCACATCTGAGTGCTGCCTAATAAAATGTATTCAATTGTTATGYGTAAATGTCAAGTGATATAAAATTCAATTATATTTTTGATACAATAAGACATGAATAGGGAATGGATTCAAATAAAAAATACTTGGAGTATTATGCAAAACCATTAATTCTATATTTTACCAGTGTGATTTAAGATTACTGAAAATAGATCCTGTTAGTCATTTTTGCTGACACATGTTGTGTTGCAGTGCCAGCTTTACTGTGGAGTTGCTAGGAGTCTTTGCAGAGCAGTAATACTCAGATTTGCTTTTAAGTTCTCGTATAATCAGAATTAATGAAGGCTTTAATAACAGGCTTTTTATTTACTTAGTAGCAGATGCAAATACATGAGCAATGTTGTGATACTTTCAGCTAAATTTAAATAGATTCTAATCAATTCTAAATGAGTGGTAAACCACTTAAACTCAGATCTTTATAATTTCAAGAAATTTATGTATAAAGTATGCTCTTTGTTTGGGATTTGCCTCTTAGATCCCTTACACTTTTATCATGTGCAGATTAGTTTTTGTAAAGAGATATCTGTAGCTGTGTGTAAATAACTCCATCCCATTCTTGAGGGCACAGCAAAGATAATGGATAACTGTTTCCACTTAATTGGGATGGGAAATGCAGAATTAATTAACTAATTAATGCAGAATTGGGGTGAGATTGTGTAGAATTCTTAAAGCAGGCYTTACCAAAAGGCACAAAATTCTAGTGAATTTGTAGTTTAAAGGACCTGCACACATAACTGTTTTCTACTTTTCTTTTGCACTTTTATCCTGTTTTTTTAGAAAAAAAATGAATTTTTTTAGCCATTTATCTTTATTTTGTAGTGGGGAAAAATTATAAGGGCAAAAAATACACTGCTTGAACCTTATAGGCACTATTCATAAAAGAGGAACATTCATGTGGTTACTCGAAATAAAGAAGGATATTTGCCCGGCATGGCTTCACACGTGCAAACACGGTGCCTTGGTGAGGGACCTGTCTCCGGAGCCTCCCTTTGGAGTTGATGGCAGAGCCAGCGGGAGCAGAAGACTTGGAAAGAGGTGATGGGAGCAGGGGAGAAGCCCCGGGGCTCCGAGTGCCCTTGCGAGAGCCTCTCTCTTCCTGTGCTGCYTGTTGCAGAAGCTCAGGGGGCTTCAGCACTGAGTAGCCAACTTGGGGTGATGTGACTATTCCTCCAGGCTTTTAAGATCCGAATCTGTTTGGAGCTTTTGATTGAAATGGAACTTCGGAAATTCTGCTGGAAATATTTAAAGTAACACTGCAGGAGGGATAACTGATGCACTGTTACAACATCTTATCTCCGGCCTCCATCAAGGTGTGATAACACCTCAGAAATGTTACTGCAGTACCAGGGTACACCAGCCCGTCTCGGTCCCTTCTTGTGCTATCTGCAGTGCTTGAGGACCCCTGAAATCCGGCTCCCGGAGCCGTGGGGCAGTCGGGGCTGTCATGGCACTGATCAAAGCCAGATGCTCTGCAACAGGGAAGGAATGTTAAGCAATTAGGGAACAGGCTGTGGACAGGGTGCCCTGCAACCTTCTCCCCCCTGCTTTCCATTAATGTGTGCTGTTTGTGTGGAAAGCATGAGGCTTTTTACTTTTCTCTGTTAGTCTTAATGATGGAATTAGACATGATGCTGAACGTTCTCGTTATAAGAACACATAGAGCATCAATCATCTTGTTTTCTCCAAAACTGTGTTTGGGTCCAACCTCAATTGTCTGAAATGTTGCCGTGCTCTGAAAAACAGTGTTAGTAAAAACTTGTGGTGATGTCAAGTAGGAACTGGAGTACTTAGAAAACTGAATGCTGAGGTCGAGAAATTATTACTCTGCCTTATTAATTTTTAATGGTCTGTCTTTCTAATAATGTTTCATCTCTCACATAAATGATAGGCATATCCCAGATGACTTGCAGGATATTCCCAGAAATGTACAAACATAATTCCAATGTCTATATATTTTAATGAACTAATTACAAATTAATTATCCCAATTACGTGTAATCAATAGTATTTCTACTTTGTCCTGTGTCATCTTTTTTTTTCTGTCTTTACAGGTTTAAACGCTCAGAGCAGAGCTGCCTTCTTAATAAGGTCCTTGAAGGACCTTGTTAAATTTGTGCGGTGATTACAGGAATAGAGGGGGGCTGAGCATTTTTGCTGTAAAAGAGCTGTATTCCTACAGGATAATGCTCAGCTTCAGATGATTGTTATGTATACAATGGGGTTTTTTTTCCTTTTTATGCCTTTTTCTTTTTTTCCCATCTAATTGTGCTTCAGGAATGGTGAAGTTGCTGGGTGCCGTGCATGAAGCGGGTGCGCGGCCGCGGTGCTGCGGGAGCCCGTCCCCACTCCGGCCATTAAAAAGGTGTGCTGTTCGCTCGGGCAGCCAACTCCTGCACCCTGCAACGGGCACCCCTGCCCTTAATTTCCTTGTAATTTCACTTGGAGGAGTTGCTCTCTTTTTCACCTCTTAACTAACTTTTATGTAGTGTTGCTGGCGCATTTAGCGGCAAGCGGGTTTTGATGGTGAATGAGGGACCCGCTCTGCTGTTTGCAAAGCACTCGGGGATCGTCGGTGATGCAAGGGACCGTGTTAGGTGTGTGTGTTTGTTCCCTGCCAGTAGATGTGAAAATATCTCRCTTATTAGGGACTTTGTCTAGCCTCGAGCTAAACCTCCTAGCCAGCAAGGAAAGAGGCAAGATATTGTTAGTGAGACCAGTATTTCTTTTATTTTCACTAGAAAGAAAGCAAAACAGAAGAGGGCATGGTGTGTCAGTAGGTTAAAAGAGAGGAGAAATGTTGTATAAAAACAACAGTGCTCCCTGGGGGTTAGAGTGAGAGGCGGGGGGAAAAGCACACGAGATGGAGACGTTTAGAGAGCGAAATGATCAGAATGGTATAAAAGCTACTTTCAGCAGTCCTGAAACAGCGTTTAGCCAAGACCTGATGCGTGCAGCTGAACAGACCCTGTCAGCAACGTTTTACAGAAATATTGGAAAAACCACAGGTAGCTGAATTGCAGATTTCTTGAGGCAGTATTGACCAGAAGGTAACTTGAATGGTCTGATGAGCTTTTATCAAATTAAACAAAAAGCTGAATGGACTTTATGTGGAACTTAATTTACAGTGCTTTGAAGTCAGAGTATTTTAAAGCATCTGTTTTAAAGTGCTTGCAACCAGAGGGGCTGGGTAGGGTTCGGGTTCCCCATAGCCCCGGGGTAGTGTGGCCTTGAGGGCTGGCATGGCCGTGGGACGGGGCACCTGCACCCGACCATCCCTCACCAGCATGGGGTGAGTATCTGCCTGTCCATGCAGGTGGGAAAAGTTCTTCCACGTGGGACTCATGCATGGCACAGCATGAAAGGTGCCTGCGTCCCCGGGCCGCTGCCCACCGTGCCCTTCACACAGTCCAGCGATGGGGACGGCACAGCTGCCGTATCCCTGAGCTTGTCTTTGTTATCACCGGCCCATTTGGTCTTGGTACTGAACCAAGCTGTTTGCTGCTTCACGTTTGGCAGGTTGTGTTTTGTCCTTCTCCCAGGGAGTGTGGGTAGTACTTTTATTTTGTCATAACCTAGTTACTGCGTAGCCATTTGCAACAGGAAGCGAAAACCATTCATATGTCTCCAAATATCTTTCCTTTTTTTTCTCTTTGTGCCCCAAACAAACAAGCTCCAGATGTAGATTTCCAAAAAGCTGACTTATTGTTTATAAAAGGTGATATCCAAGGAGCTATTTTTTTTTTCTGGGGTTTGTTCGTTAGTGAGATGTGGGCTGGAATGCT